CCCAGGGCCATCGAGGCGTAGAAAAACATGATCAGATAGCTGATGACAACGATCTTCGCATCGGTGTTGGTAGACTTGTTCAGTTCCTGTTCCAAACTGACCTCGGAATTAAAAGACACGCGAAGGCCTCGCTCAGCAGCTTCTTCCTGGACTACCCCGAGAACGGCTTGGAAAGTGTTCTCCCAATCGATGGCTTTTGCTTCTTCTTCGGTTCCCTGTGCGTAATTATTTACCACCCAGGTCACAATGAGTGCCTGGGCATCCAGAACATTCTCTGTGTCTTCGTATCCACCAAGAATCATTTCGGGCCTCAGAGGCTGCGAGAAACCGGGGAGACAGCTGGGGTCTCCAGGCGACTCTGTACAGTGGCTGAGTCGGTCCTTCCATGTGTCCGGGTCAAGGTTCGACACAGAGCCGCCGAAATACCCAGTGACCGATTGCACGACACAGGCTTCTCCAGTCGGCTTGAAACAAACGTCATCAAGGTTGAGACCCTGGTCCAACGAGATCACGCGTTGCACACGGGACTCGACATCGAACCACCAAGTGAGAGTTTCATAGTCCAAGAGGGGACGTGAGTCGTTCTCTGGGCGGTCATTCACTAAGAATGCCTGCTCGGCTCGGTAGAATGGACCAAAGTTTCGATCAAAGAAAGCCTTCTCCTGGGCGGCTGCAGATGATGGACTCACCCAGAGTCGCACCGGATCCGTTTCAACTGCGAAGTTCAACCACCCTAGGCTCAGCAGCGTCACTCCTATGACACTGGAGGATATTGTGATTGCGGGGAACCGCGCACAAGTACCACCAATCCGGTAAAACAAGGCTGACAGCACAGAATTGAGCTTGTACACTCCCTGTGTCCGTTCTATGTACCCTCCGTGGTGCATGACTTCTCCTTCATCTTCGTCATCGCTGGGCGTGGGATCTTGCAGCAAGCGCACCCGCTCTGGCTTGCGGAACCGGCGTTCTTTGTATGTGACATAGCTCGCAAGAGCCATAACAAACAACAGAAAGATGGAATAAATGAGGATGACGGCGAAAGATAGACACGGTAGAAGTCCTACATGACAGATCTTGTGGGGAGAGATGGCGGGCAACTCCGGACACACTTCTGGGCAGTCCACACAAGAGCATCGGAATGATTTGTCCTCGTCATTGCAGGCCTTTGGCTTTATTGACAACGCCTGCATCCCTTGCGGGTTAGACCCGCTGGGCTCCGTGTGATAGTTGATCTGGAACGGGCTTCCAAGAAACTTCTTGTCCCCTAAAAATTTCATGAAATGGGTATAGTCTTGAGCGCCACCGCCAATGAAGTCGATGGCTTTTCCACCCGAGGCACCGTTCTTTACGTTCTTGCAGCTGTCGAAGAAACCGCTCTGGTATTCTTTGGACCAAACATTATCCAACTCAGTCACAAGTCTTTTACCAGAGCTGTGCTCCTCAGTTTTGGTGATATTGATGAAAAGCGACTGGTCGGGAGAGCATGTAAAGGTGCAGAATATATTGAAAAAATTGTCTCGGCAGGCGGGGCAGGACGCGATAATTCCCTCTGCTAGCTTGAGGTTACTTGAAAGAGCATCGATCTATAGTTTATCAGCACGGTCACCACGTTGAAACTAGAGCTCGGGATCTCTCACCTGTTCTTCTCGACAACAGACCGGGCCTTCGCTCCATTTGCTGCCACACAGATTTACCAGTTTCTGGCGTACTGCCTCTTCTGGTTGTTGTGCCAAGTCATTATCAGGGCAGGGTAGTTCTCCCCCAAAAATAGACTGCTTTCCACAATGGCCACGGATAGCACAGCGACCTTCTTCATGGATTTTGGTTTCGCCCTGCGCACTGACAAGAGTGGGCGCAAAAGAGCCCAGTCCAACGATGGCAGCGATAGCCTTAGGTAACCGCATATTGCGGGAAGGGGAGGTATGATGGGAGATAGGACCCTTTATACCAGTCTCCAGATAATATGTCTCGAAGGGCGACACTTTCACTAATGGAGGTTGGCCATGCACTTGTCGGTGTGGGGATGGTTGCAGGCCGAGCTCAGGGGGGTAAGGAGATGCGAATTCAAGGATAATCTAATAAGGTCTAATATGAAGATTCAATTGAAATCGATTCAAGGTATTGAAAACGCGAAGGAGGAGTGTAAAGCAAGCTTTCGGAAGGGAGTGACGTGAAGGCGGAGACAGTCCCCCCCCCCGCACGGTCAACCCAGCGCTAACGTCAGGCACATTATGGCTCGAATCATTTCTCTTCTTGGCATCTATCAAAATATACCTGATTTTTAGTATTTGTCAAGATCATGGATATGAGATATTTTGAGTATACGAGTCCACGGGTCTATGTAGCCCTAATATATGCCGTTTAAATTATGATTTCATTCAGAAAATATTACATAGAAATGACTCCGAGCCGAACCGCATTCTATGAACAGGAACTCCGAGTCTCAAAACAGAAGAGACAATTATGACTACGTCTGCATCGCCAATGTTTCAGTTAGCGATGAGAACAATGAGTGGAGCTCAGAGAAGATCATGAGATGTCACATGTGAAAAATTGGCAAAGCCATTCGCCCAGGGGGTATCATCACAATGCAGGCCTGGCAATATAAGTGTTGCAACCTAATAGCCGTCATCGTCGGTCTTTTGGTAAACGTGGCGGGTTCGGGTCGGATCCTTGCGCATGGTTTGTCCAGAACCTGTAAATCCCACTAAGAGATGAGAGACGAATTAGTATCCAGTCGAGAAAAAAATTATTGATAGAGAATCCATACCTCGTGCATTGACACCTTCACCCGTGCGGAACATGCTCTCCTTTCTGCCAAATGCACCCTTGCCCTTGCCCTTGGTCTTTGCAGCGAAATCCTTCCACTTATTCTTTCCTTCTTCCAGCTCCTTCTGCGCCTTGAACTTACGGGGCACCTTGGCAGGACGAGCCAGTCCATCGACGTCCTTGGGTTCGTTGCGAGCCTGGGTAGCCAGTGCGGGGTTGATATCTGCCGCGGCGGAGATCACGCCGGGGTGAGGGGGAGTGGGCGAGGGAAATGCCGAACTGCCTGGTGTTCCATCAGCCTTGCGCTTTCGCGAGTCAGTGCCAGAGATGGGTCGGATATCCTTGGCTGTCAAAGTTTCCACAGTTGCATATGACTTGAATGTGACAAGGTACACTGGATTGGTCGATGAACCAGTGATGGAGTTAATTTTGGCCGGGTAGAAAGCCTTATCGCCAGAGACCCAGCGCGCAAGAACGACGTCGTTCACCGAGAACGATTCGGGAGTAGGAGTAGTAGTAGTAGTAGTAGTAGTAGATGCCTCCTCTGAGTTATCAGTAGGCTTGGAAGCATTATCCTTGAATCGACCCTTGGGAGCTGGTTTGGGCGCAATTGACTTGAGTTCGGCGATTTGAGTTTTGAGAGCGTCCATGTATTCTTCGAGCTCAGCTTTGAGACTGTTTAGTTCCGCATTGTCAGGGTCTACCTCCAAGCCTAGCATGACAGTTTCAATCTATTGGCTTCAGTAAGTGGCCATGGCGCGGTGAGTGACCGTTTGGGGGGTTTGCGGCAACTAACCTGAGAATTGCATTCCGACAAATCTGTCTCCAAGGAAGAGAGATCAGCCATGATGAGAGAGTATGATTCAGTGCAAAAAAAAAGAGTGATACTAGGAACTTGAGCTGTTGGACGCGTATCGGTGAAGCTTGAAAGTGAGTGACCAGGTGAATTGCGGAGAAATAATTATCTGATGGCAAATTCGTCCCCGGTCACGTGCATTTTACTTTCCGCCTTTTTGTCCGCCTTTTTGTCCGCCTTTATACTGGGTTTACGCCACAGAGATATGTAGGACTAACCTTGGCATGTGGTCAAGACTTTAACTTGTTAGAGGAAAATTACGCTCGTATATTAGCTAGATTAGTTGTCTGATTTATCCCGTGATATGTAACTAGGTCGTTCTAGTTAGTAGATCGCATACATCATAGACAAGGTTGCGATAAGCAAATCCGATACCCAGGTAATCCACTTTTTGCAGATCGATATGGGGATATGCACCCGTGGACGTTTAGGACTACCTTGCATGTAATTTAGACCTATGGCGTACATATATATACGGGTATCCAATAAATTCCCTCGTATGGGAAAGTGGCAATGCCACCTAGTGGTCTGATACTTAAGAATATCGGACCGGGGGATTGGGAGATCCGAGGGCCCAGACCTCGGGACTAGAGTAACGCAATTTCAGATTGCTCCATGTAGTATTCCGTATATGGAAGAATCACAGATATATGAGTCAGATGGAATGTAAGGGTCCTGGAGGTATGTAGGTACTTCGTACCCGGAATTCCGGTAACAGGTTAAAGGGTGATTTAGGGCTTGAGAGAAGCTACTCGAAGTGGAGAAAAAAAGAGGAAAACTGATTTCAAAGCAAAGATGCCAACAGCCAATCATATCCAGTAGATACTTCACCGCCTATGTCTATCGCCCATTCCCCTCTCCCCTCCAGTCATCCAGCCCTCCAGTCATACTGTCTCTTTCATCATTTCCCTTAGATTCTGCACCTTTCAATTATTTTTTAGTTTCATCATAGTTATCAGCCTCGTGTTTGCCTGAGCCACATTTCTACAATTTGACTAGCGGGGAATCCATTCTCGCCTCAGGCCCCTCTCGAGACTAGGAAACTCTTCTTCCTCTTTCCCCTCCATATCCAAGATCAACCCCCCTATCGCCCCATATCGCCCCCCAACATTTGGAATTCTACTATCGGCTCTTACTTGCGACTGATCCAACATTCGACATATCAGGTTGGCCTTTGTTCACTCACAAATTCGGTCAAGCTGTGAAGCTTTATTGCGAGGATCGAATCATCCTCCAACCCTCCTCGTTTAACGGTATTCATCAAATCTGTTACGGGCGGGAGCCCGGTTGGACCTCTATTGAAATCCATTCAATTTTCATTATCACCTTTCTCTCGTCTTTCAGCCCTTCTATCCATTGGAAGTAACCCGCCACAATGAGTGATTATGATCAACGATACCAGCAAGGTCTTTACCTTTCCCCAAACCAACAAGATCTCCTACTCGCCGCTCTATCTTCCAACAACCCCGGCCGGAAGCCCCAAAGCGGCTCTCCCCAAATCGGGTCCTCTCAGAGCCCCGACGAAAATTCCTCAAATGGTCTCAGCGGCCCTCCCTCGGGTGGGTTTGACAATCCTCACGCCAACAACTTTGGGTTCGGGGATGACGAAAGCCCTTTTTTGGATTTTACCCCGGAGGTTGACTTCGATTTCCCCGGTTCCGCCGACTTGATCGGTGACATACCGGGATCGGTTGACTATGACTATGATATTGGCGAGAAGCGCAAATCCCTCGAGGGGAAGTCGGACGCTGACGGAGAGGAGACCGGAAAGAAGCGTAGGGAAAGCGAGGCCAAGAAGCCTGGTAGGAAGCCACTGACTTCAGAGCCTACTACGGTATGCCACTCTTGATGCACGCGGAAGTTGCTGGGACTAGAGCCGTGAACTGACGTATTGAGCAGAAGCGCAAGGCTCAAAACCGGGCTGCCCAGCGAGCCTTCCGCGAACGCAAGGAGAAGCACCTGAAGGACTTGGAGGATTCGGTGGAAAAGCTGCAGAAGACATCCGACATGACAAACCAGGAGAATGGCTTGCTGCGTGCCCAGGTCGAGCGGTTGCAGGTCGAGCTCCGTGAGTACCGAAAGCGCCTTTCCTGGATGGCCTCGGGATCAGGAAACGGCATCTCAGCTATGAGCTCGAATTCCATTCCAAGCGCCCATTCCAAGGGGGCATATGGCCTCCAAAATAACGAGTTTCTCTTCGATTTCCCCAAGTTTGGCGATTTGCCTGGTGGTCATCTCTTCAACGGACAGGCCAACAAGAACGACCAATCCAAGTCTAACGACATTCCCCAGGCACCTGGTGTCTTGGGTCGCGACAGTCTGAATAGTCCTTCGTCTCGGTCGAACTCTCTTGCCCAGTCGAATAAATCGAAGTATAGCGGAACTCCCAACAGTGCCACTTCCGCCAAAGCACCCTACTCTGGCTTCAAGTCTTCCACAACTGACAACTCTACTTCGGAGAATTCTCCGTCGTCTTCGTGCGACTCGCACCAGAGTCAGATGCCGTCGTCGAACGGGACTTCCCCAGAACCAAGTCTGAACTCTCCAGATGGGCAGCATCGCGAGCTGGGACCAGGTGACTTGTGCGGCGGGCATGTCACCACCGATGGCGAGAAATCATTCTGTGCACAGCTTGGTATGGCATGTGGCAATATCAGAAATCCCATCCCAGCGGTTCGTGATAACAGATCCAAATCTATCAGTATTTCAAGCGGCCAGCCAACCCCAATCGATGGCCAAGCCGAGGGCGAAGATTCTCAGGATCTTGGAATCGATTGGATGGTTCATCAAAATGGGGGCCAGTTCGATCCAGTGCTCTTTGGTGACTGGCGAGAGCCCCAGGATGCTGTGCTGTCTCAGGATTTCGGCTCTTTCTTCAATGAAGCATTCCCTCTGCCGGACCTGGGCAGTCCATCCCACAACTTGTCCGAGGTGGCCACTAGCGTGGCCCCGCCCAAGAAGGACCTTGTTGCCCAGATTGATAGCAAGCTCGAGGAAGATGAGGTTGTTCCAGGCGAAAACCACTCACAGATGCTGTCTTGCACGAAAATTTGGTATGTTCTCGCTTGTCTAAGTACTCGCCAATTTATATTCCAGATTACTGACTTTTTTTTTTCTTTCTAGGGATCGTCTTCAATCCATGGAAAGGTTCCGCAACGGCGAGATTGATGTTGACAATCTCTGCTCCGAGCTTCGCACCAAAGCACGATGTTCCGAGAGTGGTGTAGTCGTGAACCAGAATGACGTTGACGACATTATGGGACGAGCCAAGTAGCTTGGTTCCAGTATGCCCACTGCCCTTCAACTCATACTCGGGCTTAATTCACGACTCACGGACCAACACCTGATACTCGCGCTTTTTTTGATTTCTACGCATACCCATCATCGATTGTCATTTATAGGAGGAATCCTGCTCGGCGTCATGAATACAACACAGGATAAAAGAAGAAAAGTCATGGGGGAGAAACAACATCCAATTCAGCGGATATTTGATTTTGAAAACGGATCTTTTTCTCAATGCCCATAGTTGGCAATCTATCAGTCTCCCATCTGAGGGGCACATACACATTCTTTCTCTCTCTCTCTCTCTCTTCCACATTTGCTTATTTATTCTCCCGTTTTTATTGGTTTTCAAACAGTAATTGCCAATTGATTGTTTCATACTTGTTTTGATTCGCATCATTGAGCTTGGCGAATGGGGGACCTTGTCTCACACTGGCCATGAGACTTTAGGAATATGACATGGATGGCTCAGTGCCTATTGTACGGAAAGGGAATATGGCGAACTTGATATACTACTTTCCTTGAACTGGGACAGAATGGCTCTGCTTTGCGTACCTTTTTTTTTTTCTTTCTTTTTTGTACACAATCTGTTAATGCATCTCTACTCTGTCGACTCCTTTCTGGCCATCCTGGTGGTTGACTAATGGGCTCATCTGCCCAGACGCGTACATTCACCTTCAGTATCTCAAATCAAATCAGACAAAAATATTTGGCTTATTCGGTCTGATGTCTTTTTAGTCCCGATATTATGCTTAAATGTGTCTTAAATATCTCCTAGAGGCTTTGTGAACACGACTTTTGCATGTATAACTTGTGAACTAGGGCTGTTTTGTCCTTATATGTGTGTACTACTAAATAGAAGTGGCTCCTTTCTTAGGACGTCACCTGCTTTATCTGACCGTTTCCTTTTCTCTCCTCTCTCTTCCCTTCTCTTTTATCCCTGGCCTGTGGTCTTTTTATCAACCGTTCTGTCTCCTCAAGAGGAACGTTTCATCCTTATCGCTCATTCAGGTAAGGATGACATATTCCAAAACTTACTAATCTCGGAAATGTGAGCACTTTCTACGTTGCTTTTTTGCCAGAAAATCCCCCGTTGCTGCAGCTAGACATTCAGACATGTTACACTCCGACTCCCAAGACGCCGAGTGTTTCGATACATTGCCTGGAGATACCTTGGAGGCCACCGGGTCCTTGGTCGGTGAGATCCGCAAGGTCGTGAGAGAACAGGAAGAAATCATGGTGGCAAAGTACCTGCTTTTCACGAGTATCCCACCGACCATTGTAGGAAAGACAATTTCGGGCAGGCAGATGTACAAATGTAGAAAGCTTGATACACGGTCAATGATTATCAAGCTAGTGGATCGAGTCCATGAACGGGCTGTTGATCACCTACAGACCGAAATGACTGATTGGCGAACCAGTTTAGGGTTGCATAAACATTCGATTCAGGGGTTCAGAGCTGCACGCGTTCGGGGGCAATCAAGTTCGGAAGAACCATTCGATGTTACCTTCTGCACCTATCCCAGCAAACTCGAAGGGAGAAGTCAAGCTCGTGATTATCATATCGACCAGGCGGCAGACCCCAAATATCACTTTTCAGACGCCTATTCTAGACACATTTGATGACTTCTTCTATCGCCAACCCTCCCCCCGGAACATGGTTTGTAGATCCCGGTGACTTGGCTGAAGGATATGTCGCAGGTACTCCGGGAAACTAAGTCCGGTTCAGGTTTTGTATTCCTAGCTCTTCTTTCAATGAGATATTCTTTACTATGCTTGCCAATACAAATTTACAGTGCAACATTGGAGATCGGGAAGATACAGTAGAAAGGCTTGTACACGAGTACGGAGTATCTAGATTTACAGAGTCCAAAGCAGAGCTGTAAGGGTATCGATGTGGTCCACGGACATAAAACTAAAGTACAAAGAGAAACGAGGTGAAAGGGCGTATTCTGTTTTTTTTTTCTTTCGTTTTTTTTTCTTCAGATGTTTTCTGCATCCCACTTTTCCCTCAACAAAAAAAGAAACACTGTCTGGACCTCAAGGACTCTACTTCGGAGTCCAGATCAACGCTGCAATTCGCGTTCATGTCCTGTCTTTCTGACTAGACTTGAGAACAAAGAACATAAAGATTGAGCGCTATCAAATTCAAAAAGGCAAAGAAGATTCGCAAATGGGATGAGATAAAAAGGCACAAAAGGATTAGAGTATCAGGCGTGTAAGATCGAGGCAATGTCGATGGCCGGGGGAAAAAAACTATGACACATAGAAAAATTCAATGTTGCCGATTAGGCGTCACCGGATGCGACGGGCTTGTCACCCGAGGGGGCAGAAGTGTCATTTGGGCCGCTCTTAAAGCCACCCCGACCTCCTCCACGGCCACCACGACCACGCTCGCCACTGCCACGACCACCGCGGCCACGACCACCGAATCCACCACGGCGACTGCCATCACTGTCACTGGCGCTTTGGTAGCCACGTGGCGCGGTGGTGATGCCACCGCGGGTGCTAGACTGCCAAGTTCCGGCATTACCGACAGCAGCCCGGGGGCCGCGGTCCTCGAAGAACTTGAAGTTGGGCTTGCGTTGCTGACCATGGGGAGTGGGGCCGGGCTTCTTCAACTCAATAGGCAGGTGGTCCATAGCCGCCTTGGCCTCTTCAGCACTCGAGAATGTCACAACGTGGTTGTATTTGCCGAGCTTATCGATTTTGGTAATCTTCGATCTATCCTCCTCAGAGATGAGGTCACGGACAGCCTGTTCGCTTTCGGCGCTTGTGACGAAAAGAGCGTTGGCAGGCTTCTTTTCGCCCCGAGGTGCGGGTGATTCACTTGGCTTTTCGTGCGGGGCGGTACCGTTAGTGTCAGCAGCTGCGACCTTTTCTTCCCCGGCGGGCTGAGCAGAGGCGGGAACAGCTGGCTGCGGGCTCATAGACTTGGGAATCACGGGGACAGGGGAGGCCCTCGGGCCCTTCTGGCCTTGAGGAATAGGTGCACGCGCGGGAGGGGCTTGGCCGAACTGAGGAGCCACGACGGGGGTTCGGGCAGCGCCAGTCGGAGCGGGAGAGGCAGTGGTTGCTGGGTGACCGCTGGAGACAGTTTGAGGGGCACCACCTGCCTGGGGTTTGCCAGTGCGGTGGGCGAAGTTGAATCCTTGAGCCCGCATCTCCGTCGCGATGCGTCCGGCTTCAACCTCCAAAACGAGATATCCGAATGCGGCATCCGCCAAGTTGAAATTCCACATATTCTTGAATGCACTCTCGTCGACCTGTCCGGCAGCATTACCAGCGGCAACAGGGCCACCGAATGGATTACCGCCATTAGCAATGGAAGGCATCTTGTGAACAACATCCAGGGCATTCTCTAGAAGAGTCTTCTGGCCATCATTGGAGGAGATGGCTGCCTCCACCTCGGTTTTGACGGTCTCCCAGACATCGTTGAATGATGCCTTAGAGGCAGCAAGCTTGCCGCGATAGTGGTCCAAAGACGGGTTCACGGAGAACTCGTTGTACGAGGAGCCGTAGCGGAAATGGAGACCAGCGGAAATGGAAAAGTCGGCCTTCAGTGTAACGGATAGCTGGTTCAGCATGCCTTCGCGGGCAGGCGAGGCGTGGGTGACGAATACACGAGTCTCGGAGGGGTCGTAGACACGGTTGGCGGTGTCAATGAGTTCGCCCATCTGCAAAAGCGTTGTCCACATGGTACCTTGGCCGCCGGCAATAGTCGTCTTTCCTTCACCATTGTCGAAGAGCTTATGCATCACAACGGCACCTCCCAGGCCCAGCAGACGGAGCTTCACACCGCCAATATCGAGAAGGCGTGAGTTGGCCTCATCGATAATGTGAAGCTTGTCTACCTTGTACTCACCTGAGCGGAACTTCTCCAACACGCGCACATCTTCACAGGCACCCCAAACTGTGTAAACTGGGACATCAAGGGTGATGCGCTTGTCGAGAAGCATAGAGAGCTCAGAGAGGGGCAGTTGGTCGGGCGGGAAGCGCTGCTTAATTGACTGCTGGGGAGATACCTGTGCGATGGACCGTTTCACGTTCTCAGGGAGGAGGGGGGAGTATTGTGCGACATGCTTCAATGTCCTGTTCGTAGATCCGGGGTTAGCTGATGCTGTCTAGTCTATTTTGGTGCCTGGTGAGGCGAATGTGTTGGGCAGCAAACACGCGCCGAAAAGCTGGGGAAGAAAACTCACTTGTCTGCAATTCGCTCGAGGGAAGTATCATCGTAGAAACCAAAGTCACCTGTGTGAATGATGTGGTCGGCGCGGGCCTGCTTCGCAAGCTCGTTAAGAGACTTCAAGTTGCCTGGTTTACGGGTTCAATTAATACTGTCACTTTGCCAAGGAAAAGACCGCCAGAATGTAATCACCTCGGACGTCTGCAATGCACAAGATTCGTGTCGGTCCGCTCTGAATCACACGGCCATTGTTGGGGAGGAGCGGCGTGGCACCGGGGACAGGGCCCGCAGCCGCACCATTTGAGATAGGGTAGCCTTGAGCACCGAAGTTGGGGCGCGGCTATAAATGAAAAGGAAAGAATGATATTAGCCAAGCTTTCCAAGATCTCAAAAATATGGTATTCGGCGCGATTAGAAGCTGGGGGCAAATGCGCAGCTGCGAGGGGAGGTAAGGTTAGGGAGCCACCTACAGAAGCCATGAAGTTGTTGAATGTAAGTGTGGATGGGAGGAAGTAGAGGTATGGGTGAAGATGAAGGAGGAGAGAAAGAAGGGAAAAGAAGGAAAGGAAAGGATGAAGGTGTGTCGAGGGGAAAAAGATGTCGAAGGTTCACTTTCTCATCGATGAAGCAGCAGCCGTGACATGAATATTAGGTAAGCCGCCCCTGGCAGGTACCTCAGGCAGTGCAAACAACACTTCTATTCATGCATGGAACTAACTAAATACATTAAATTGACTGATCTGATTGATTTGACTACATGACAATACTCTCGCCTGCTACTAGGCGATGGTGATTTTTTCTTCTTCATCCAGACTGACCCAAGATATAGGTCATTATAGTCTAACATTGCAAGTGAGACAGACGCTTCTTGCCCGATTATCCGGGCTAGGAACTGGCATATGATATGTAGGCATACATCCCAAGGTGCTTCACTATTTGCTACGTAGATATCCTACTATATAGCCCAGATGATGACATGGCACGCTTATTGTCAGACCAGCGACAATGTGTATCAAAGTTCTTCGATATGATTTCCAACGAGATATTGCTGCCTATCCAACTTTTGTCTGGCAGGCTCTGACGCTGCTTGACCTCGACATGATAAGGACTGAATGGATCGAGGACCCTCAAGTGCCAACAACGCAAAATGTCCACCAACAGTTGGACGGGCCCGACACAAGATAGGAACTCCCGGCTCATTTCCATGCGCAGAAGTCGCAACATACCGATCAGAGAAAGGCCACTTGTGTTTTCCGTTGGTCATGAATGACCACAGGTCATCGACAAACTCGTCTCTGGTTCTAGTCTCAAAGGTGCCAGCCAGCCACATATTCCAATCTGATTTGGCCCAGTCCTGGCGGTTATCGAGAGCCACACCATATTCGCCACGAACAGATCTAAAAAAGCTATTTCCCATCTGATAGACAGCGTCGGTGAATACCTCCAGACCCAGCAACACATCAGGGAAGAGGTTGTACGGTGTCTTCCAAGTAGCTGGCCAGTCAGGATATTCCAGAACGAAATGTGTCTGGTCTTTGTCTGTTCCCAGGCCCTGCTGGAAGAAGATATTGGCATGCTGCTCACCAACACGGGAGTAGAATTCATATCCACTCATCTCCCCAAACGCCTTGAGGCCAACTGCAGCCGTAATTGCCAGATTTGTCTCGTTGGCGAGAGGTCCAGCTGCATCATTCGACGATAACTGATTAGCAATATCAATACTATTATCCACCAAATAATCTGCATACTTCTGGAAAATCTCCATATATTGCGAAGTCCAGTCGATATCGCCAGTGGCTCGAACATATGCAGCAACTAAGATAAGCAGATTTCCACACTCCTCGATGGGCATTGGCTCTGCTTCTTGGTCATCATGACCAATGGCATTGGGATAATGAGTACCAAGGTCATGGATCATGTATGGCAAATGCCAGCGATCAGCAGCAAGGTACTTCATTACGGGTTCCAGCAACAGTCGGATGTAATCTGGATCCATGACATAGTAGATTGGGAAGGCGGGCATGATCACATCGATGGTATTGATATTTCCATTACTCGAAAGCTCCTTGATAAAAGCCAACACCTCGCCGGTGTCGAGAGAGCCATTGGGAATAACCAGTTCGATTCCTCCGTATGCTTGTCGGGTCGAAAGAGCTAGGATATCCGCGTACTTGGGACCTGCAGCGGCGACAGATAATGCGACCAGCTCCTGATCCAGTTTCAATGACTCCAGCAATGCGCCGCTGTAGTCATCCAAGAAGAACGAGAGGGCACTCGATGTGGTCGGATACTCTGCACGATAGAAACCTGTGTACGCTTCTCCCAGGTAGTTGATGGCGGCTTCTCTCTCGTACCCGACCACGAAGTTCACAGAAAGCCCACCAGTGACTTTGCCAAGATTGTGGGCCAATGCGATAACACTTCCCTCGCCCCAGGTACTGTCCTCGCCACATAGTTCACCGGCCTGGACGAATTGACCTCGTACATCCTTGAGGCTTCCCGAGAGGGCGGACAATTGAGTGAAGCTAGAAGATTGAGAGGCAAGGATTGCTGAGCCCCAAAGAGCCATGTCGTCTGCCTCGGCATACAGCGGTGCGTCTTCGATGGTGAGTGAGTAGATGGCTAGGCCGTTTTTCTCTTCGAAGTCGCGCTGTGAGCGGCTTTCTTGGCCAGTCCACCTAGCATCGATGTCCGAATAAATCTGGATCTCATGACCTCGCGATTTAGACACATGCACAGTTAAATAACCTGTTAGTGTTAGTCAATTCAATAAACAATCGACTTTATTCCGTGTAACCCACTAAAAGGAAGCGACTGCCGAACATAGTTCGAGGGCGACACAGGCGACAAGAAATCTAGCGTGATTGCCACGGGGCCAGCCGTGAGATCAAATATTGAATGTGTCGCAGTAAACTCAGCACGACGCACTGTCGCAGGGCGGATATTGTTCGCGTCCGCGTCTGGCACGCCCATCAGACTATATGCCTGACCATTTACACGGACAATTACAGACCAGCCGAGGTCTTGGCCAGCCCAGAATTGGGGTTCGGCATAGGGAAGCTGCTGTACTCGGTCGCTGGGCATCCATGCCGATAGATACGGGTTGCGTACCGCTAGCGGGTAAGATGGCGGGAGAACAGGGCGATGAGTTACTGAACTCGACTCCTGGCCCGAATAGAAAGAGAGCAACGATGCATAGAGGGAGCTTAGCCCGAGTGAGCTTAGGTTAAATCGCATGCTGACATTCGTCCATGCGTCAGAAGTTGAAGTCTGTAAACAAACGCACTAGCATATATTATAGCAATATGAACAACTTAAGATATCAACATCCAAGTCCTGGAGGGAAGTATATTGTAGAAGTGTGAAGGTGAAGATATAAATAACCCCTTGCCGATCTCCCTGCGTCATATTGTGGGGAACCCCCATAGTACTTACGTAGATAGGGCTTTGCTGTATAGCGCCGGTTTTATAAGCTCAGAGTCAGGAGTAAATTCTAGGAGACAGAGAAGTATAAGCTAACGGGATTTCGCTAGGACCCTACCCGTCAATTGGGGTTTAGGGTTTCCGGTACCGTTGTCGGGCAGTGTCATTTGAACAAGAAGCCATAAAATTCATCTATTTTCATTTCTATGTGTATCTACAGCTGCGCCTTTTGAATTCGTCGCCCAATCTCATCGAAATGAATCTGCTTCCCGGACACCAGTGCCTCCTGGAGGTAAGAACCAATCTCAACGGCCTTGACAGCATTGCTCAACTTCATGGGCAACGGCGTGTTGTCCAGGCAGGCCGCGGTGAAGTCATTCGCCTCCTGGACAAAGGCAGGGCTGAACCGACCCATAAAATTGTGAGGGATTTCGCGAGTGATGCCACCGTTGTGGAATAAGTTGACAAAATTCCGCTGGGGGTTTCCATTCACGGTCAACTTGCCCTCGGTGCCAATAATCTCAGTGGTGTCCTCCTGGCCGGCGGCCATCATGCGCGAGCAGTAATAGTAGGCGATCTTGCCATTCCAGAACTCCACAATACCCACGGCATTGTCATAATCGTTGTACTTCTTCAGCTCTGGTTGGACTGCGGTGATACCGTGGGCAGAGATGCTCTTGGGCATGATTTCATCCCCAAAGAACCATAGGCTGAGGTCAATGTCGTGCACAGACATGTCGACAAAGACGCCGCCGGACCAGGCTGCATATTCGACGTAGAAGCCCGAGGGATCAAACTTGTCACAAGTCTGGCTGCGGATAATGGCAGGCCGTCCGATGAGACCATGCTCCATCTTGGCGTGGGCATCACGGTATGACTCGTCGAAGCGTCTGGAGAAGCCACACATCACCTTCAGATGGGGCTTCTTCTTAGCAGCCTGAACCACTGCTCTGCACTTGAAAGAGATATTCATCAGCATTCGTCTTGATTTCAAACAGAGGAAATTCATACCACTTCGACATCGGTAGACAAGGGCTTCTCGCAGAGAACGTGCAAGTCTTGCTCGATGGCCTTGATTGTCTCCTCCGCGTGCACGGAGGTAGCCGTACCAATAGCAACAGCCTGTAGACCTGGATGCTTGAGCATTTCATCATAGTTGGTGTAGAGAGTCACACCGTGGGGCTCCAGGTTCACTCTTCCCCATGTAATCTCAGCAGGGTCTGGAGTGAATGCCGCAACAAGCTCTGCGCGGGGTGTCTTCTGTAGGAAATTGATAGCATGGAGCTTGCCGACTCGACCAAGGCCGGCCATGCCAACTTGTAGTTTTTGAACTGCCATGGTGTGGAAGGATTGAACAGAAGAGTGAATAATTGTCTTTTGGAACCCTCAATTTCCTGGGTCTTGGAGGGGGTTTAAATAGATGGGAAAGAAGCTGCTCTACCTGCATCTTGATCAGTATATTGCTGTTAGCCTTCAAGGTAATATGTCCCGTCAAGTGATAATTGTTAAGTGAACGGAAAGAATTGCCGGATGCAATGAAAGGGGAAGGTTTGGGTTCCCCGCATCCACGTTGTGATTGCTTTGCTTAGCTACGTAATGCCAAGACTATCTACTTTCTAGGTGGGCAGCCCCGAGGAGACGAAAAGAATTTCCTCTTTTACAAATCTTCCACATTGAAAAGAGATGCCTCCAAGAAAGAATCGCCTAATAGCTAGCTGGTGGGTTAGCCAATATTCAATATATGAAGATCTCTGCTAATTGTGACCTGTGCAGCCAACGATGTCGTGGTAAGTCCCCGGGTAGAGATCGACGTACAGCGCTGAAACACAGACAATTGCACAGTCCGACACTTTAGATGTAAGAATTATTAACTTAGAAAGAATGGGGTATACTGATCAAGTAACATAGGTGACATCAATGACCTGGATTGTGAGCACTGTCAACAAGCTGGTGTGGATTGTGACAGAACCAATGTCCGGTTTCGCAATGGCCTCTCATTACCCAAAGAAGCTGAGATTGCCTTCTCAGACCAGAGATTCTGGCCCCAGCTGCGTGGCAAAGGTAGGCACGGGCTAATGATTTGCTATAACATAAACTTAAGCATAATTTCTAGTGCGTTTCCATGATGAAACACCCGAGATCGCTAGCCTGTACTCGACTCCTCAGCATGGCCAGCCGGCTTTTACCAATAAAATTGGTTGCAAAGTAACAGTCGGGCTGAGAGAAGAGCTCGGTATGCTGAGTGGTCTGCTAGTACAACAACCATATGCAGCTAATGGTACCACCAAAGATGCCTTAGCCCAATTTCCAGTTTCTACAGAAAGTTTGTCGCCGTCTGTTCTATCCCTGTCTTCTCCAAGATCAATCGAATCAAAAACATCATCCAATCCTTCGCAACCGCTAAGCGAAAGGGAAGCCATACTGTTGAGGAATTTTATTGAGAATATGGCGCTCTGGGTGCGTGTATGCCCGACGACAGACCCACCTGCAGCCACTGATTAGGACAGGCTGATATCACGGACCCCCACCGCCATTTTGAAACAGAGGTGTCAGCTAGGGCATTGAAAGAGCCCGTCTTACGCTATGCAATTTTTGCATTTTCTTCGCGCCATCTTGGCCGACAGGACAACAGCGATGTAACAGAGGCACTGCAGTACCATAATCGTTGTGTTCAACTGCTTATTCCAGTCCTTTCTGGGCCTCACGACCACATCACCGAGGATATTCTAGCTGCAGTCGCTATACTCCGCCAGCATGAGGAAATGGATGGTCAGTCATCGATGCGGACAAGTAGCAAATAAATGCTCACGTATTCCAGGGGAGGACAATCAATTCCATCTTACTGGCACAACCCACATACTGAATACAGTGTCGGCCTTTGGCTCTTCGGGTGGCCTGGGCGAAGCTGCTGCCTGGCTTTGTTTGCGGCAGGATATCTATATCTCACTAACCAGCCAACGGCCTCTGCGAACCAATCTACAAAGCTTTCACCACTCAGATGTGTTTCAAAGAAATGATGACTCTGCATGGTCCAGCAGAATGGTGTTTCTGCTTGCTAATGTTCTCCAGGGTGCTTTCACAAACTCCACTATAACACAGGGGATAGACCACGAGATCGAAGAGTGGTATTCCACCAAACCGCATACCTTCGACCCGGTTAGATCAGTCGCACAAGGTCCCGGGCCCGATCAACGACTCCCTACCATGTGGATGCTGCTACCCGTGCATGGTGAATCCCCATAACATGTGTGTATGGTAGACTGGAGACTGACATTGACTCAAATGGCTGGGCAGTTATTGGCATTCAATACTACCATATTGCCAAGATTGTTTTGGCGCTTTCCGATCCTTCACGGGCCTCCTCCACCTATGAGAGTTTGCGACATTCCCGAACAGTGGAGGTTTGTTGAACCACTAACTCTTTCGGTCGGTGCTCACGCAATGGATTTAGAAGAATGTACGCCACCATCTGCTTATCGTCATGGGATTGGCACAGTCCAACACGAAAGCGGAGAACACGTTGTTTACTGCACGTCATAGTCTAGTCGCCTGTGAGTTACCACACGGTTATTCTTTAAGTATTCAACTGACTTGACAGGGGGTTGGGTCCTTCGACATCCCCTCGATCAAAGGGCTGCCGAGTCATTATTGCAAGCCATGCATGCAAGGACTGGTTGGAATATGAATCCCCTCATCGACACATTGCGCGCACAGTGGCAAGAGATGGATGAAAGTTGAGTACTATGGTAAAGAGGGTATATGCTCAAGAAGAATTCAGCCGAAGATGAATGACCAGGAATTTGGTGAAAATACCCGATGGGTTCATGAAAGTTGGCGTCAGGGCCGGGTGTATAAAGAAGGGATCAAGGGGAAGATCACAATCTCAGGGGATCTACGTCGTACGTAGTCGCACCCCACTCCTTTCCATTTAAATCAGCGCACATCCTTTTCCTTTCCTTCAATTATATTCTCACACATCTGCAGAGAAGAACACTTGATCTTCATCACACCCTTGTCTCACCCCCGCAAATTCAAACACGCTAGTAAAAGCGGATCCCGTTGCCTCGGCCCTCAACGCGCGTGACAGTATTGGCTCGATTCTCTCGCAAACATGAATACAATCCTCGGGCTGGTCCCAAGAAGTCTATGGAAATCCGATTTCTCGGGTTTCGGATGGAAATTCTGCTATACACCCATCATGCAAAACCAATATTCTCCGAGCGCAAGCATGAACGCAAAAGAGCTTGACACAGTTTCAACTCCACATTGCCCACCCCCGCCTTCTTACAATGACGTGAGCGGCGCCGTATTCATAGCCCAAGATGGCAAACCTCAATTTCTATCACCAGAGGAAGAGGTGGAGCGACAACATCGACTACAACAAGCGGTGCGCGAGAAGATGTTAGGGTTACCACGAACGACAAAGTTCGAATGGCACCATGGGACAGCAGGAACATCAACATCACCAACATCGGAAACCACAGAAGCTACAGGAACTGTGGAAGAATTACAACTACCGCCGTATACACCTCGAGAGATGGATCGGTTTTGACAGAGCCTTGGATTCCCTACTTGTACACAGGGTACAAACCGCAGTACACTTTATATAGACTGCGTGAAGGGAGCCTTGTATAATAATAATGCACCGAGGGTTCGCCTTTTGATTTGATGGCCGTATCCACTATTTGTACAAGAATGTTGTAGATCTAAGGCTTAGTTCCGGAACAGTTTCAAGCCACCTTCCTCCCGATCAATCTCATCCTCTTCATCGCTGGCACCCTCATCGCCTTCACCGAGCAAACCACTGGCCGATTTGCCGAGCAGGGAAGCAAAGAACTCATCTCGTGCGCGGGTAGACCAGGAACCACGGTCATCGGGGGCCATGAAGTTCTGAAGCTTTTCATGCACAGTGTACTTCATCTTGCGGCCCTTGGAAGCACGGGTATCAATGTCTCGCTTGACCTTATCGTTGCGCATACCAGTGATGGGATGGATGGGTAGGCGGGAAGGCAGCTGGTGCAGGTTGTCAAAGCCATTGGTCATGGAATCGGATGAGGACATGCGCTGTTCAACGAGATCGCGCAAAAGGGACTGGTAGAAAGCTCCATCATCGTAGAGAGGTTCTTGCTCAGAAGTGCGCGAACGCTTGGAGGATCGTTCTCCAATCTCTGTGGCGACTTGAGCGTCGAGAACGGCTGTGATGGTCTGTTGGCGACCGGAGGAAGAGCCGAGCAATTTGCCTCTGGCGTTGGGGAGAGATGCAGAAGTCCCACGGACTTTTGAGGACCACTTGTCAAGAACGGAACGGCGGTGGGAAATGGACTCGGACTCCAATTCAGACATGCGTTCCCAGAGCGAGGCAGAGCTAGTAGCAGGCGAAGCGGGGGAGGGTCTCTTGCGCTTTTTGCTGCCTTCTTTGGCGGTAGCATCGGCCAGGGCGGTACGTAAACCTTCGAGTGTCGACCATAACGCAAGTGCAGCGGACTCCGCCGACTTAATTGCTTCCTCATCAACAACTTCCTCTTCGTCGTTCATCGCGTTCTCTCCGTCTGCTTCGGTTTTCGAACCCAAAACAGCAGCAATACCGTTGATAGACGTCAATCCACTCTGAAGCTTCATTCGCGCGTTAAGGAGCGCATCAAAAGTGGTACGTTGTTGCTTGACAGCCTTTCCCTTCGTAGCATCGGCCTTGGCTGCCGAGGAGATTGTCGCAGCGATAGTTTTCTGATCCGTCGCCATTAGTTTTCGAATTTCGTCGCGGTCACCAGACGGTCCGCTTGTGTCGCCATGTCGGACTTCTGGGCGACTCCTCTTGGAGTGTTTGTCGACCACCTCCTTGCCATGCTCCTCGCCATCCTCATCGTCATCGTCATCCTCCGCGTCACTCTCACCATCCTCTTCACTATGTTCATCCTCATCTCCCTCGATGTCCTCATCTGAGCCCTCCAGGGCCAGGGCATCATCGGATTCTTCGGACACGGAGAAGCCTTCCGAGTCTTCGTCATCCTCACTTTCGGTGCCTAGCGCCGCCCGGCTGACCCGGGCACCCTCATATTGTTTGCCCAGGGGGAGGGGATCATCTTTGCGGAGCTTCGCTTTCCTGTTTGATTATCAGCGAGTTGTTCACAGCCAAATACACCTATTTTTACATACCCAACAGTCTGATAATGCTCTCTGCCAGTATTCACTTCGTCTTTATCTTCATCCTCATCATCACTTGATTGTTGGCCATTATCGATATCCTCCGGGTCAAAGTCTATGCGCCAAGTAAGCATTGAGTGTCCGGTAACCAAGAGAATCTGTAGATGAATCATGCATACCTTTAGGAGTTGGATCTTCAAAATCAGCCAGCTGATCAGCAAGGGAACGAGCTGCGCGTGGTTTGCCCATGGTGTTTGGTATGGGGAAAGAAGAGGTTGACGAGCAACTTTTTTTTGTGGTTTTTCCGGATAACGGATTATTACTCCTATCTAGGTTTAGCGTTTGTTGGTGGTATATATTCACGTGGGCGGTATACGGCGTGGGAGGTTCAACTAGGCAGGCGGTCGGGCTTTGTATCAGCAGTATCGCAGTGGATATCCTGCACTGTATCTTCTTGAACTACTTCTGTTGCTCACGGATTATTGAGTCTTGTATCTTTCCTTCTCATCTGCCTCATCTGGCCCGTGAGTATGTTGGCCTCTCCATCTAGTGCCATAGCTAGGGGCACGAGGTTTTTTTCCACCTGTCGAGCTCTTCAGCATGACAATCCTTTGGTTAGTTGTTACATTGCATTCTGGAGCTCCTGCCAGCTTAGTGATTGTTTCCATGTATGGCTGTTTTGACTTACATTAACGAACTATTAACAGGGACTTCCACGGTCTGGTACCCCGCCAACTTTCCGTTCGCGCCGAGGGATGCCTGAAAAGCGCAAGATTCGAGATGTCAAGAAAGTTGTTGCGGTCTCTTCAGCAAAGGGAGGAGTTGGCAAGTCAACAATAGCGGGTATGCTGATATCCTCCATACTTATCCATGTCCCAACCCATGTAGCCACAGCATAAGCCCTGTGATCACAAGTGGAACGAACAATCGCTAAATATATCTTATCAGTCAATCTCGCACTATCATTTGCACGCCGTGGTATCAAGACAGGAATTCTTGACACCGATATCTTCGGTCCTTCGATCCCCACCCTCCTAAATCTCTCCGGCGAGCCTCGCCTCGACGAAAGTGAGTCTCCTTTTCTAAGCTCATCGCCCTTGTAGCGATGATCAATATGCTTATGAACATTGCCAGACAACTGCCTCGTTCCTTTAACAAACTATGGCCTGAAATCAATGTCAATGGGATACCTCCTTCCACAAACACAAGCCGACAGCACAACAGGCGAACTACCCATGGACACAACCCCAATATCATGGCGCGGACTAATGGTAACCAAAGCCATGCACCAACTCCTCCACTCAGTATCATGGGGTCCACTGGACGTCCTAATTCTCGATCTACCCCCGGAACTGGCGACGTCCAACTCACAATCAACCAAGAAGTCATCATCGACGGGGCCGTGATCGTATCAACACCCCAAGACATCGCACTCCGCGACGCGGTGCGGGGCATTGGGATGTTCCAGCGAATGGAAGTACCCGTCCTCGGAATGGTGCGCAACATGGCATATTTCGCGTGTCCACAATGCGGGACTCAGACCCGTATATTCTCGCATGGTGATAGCCACCACCACGCGCACGGTGAGAATCATGGTGTAGTGGCTGAGTGCAAGCGACTCGGAGTCGACTTCCTTGGTGATATCCCTCTCGATGCTCGGGTGTGTGAGGATGCTGATCGTGGGATGCCGACTGTTGTTGCGGAGGAAAGTGATGAGCGCAGTGCGAGACGGGAGGCTTTCCTTGGTGTTGCTGAGCAGGTGGCTCGGAAGATTGGCCTTGATTGGCGCTGAAGGGTCATTCATCTTGCCGAGATGAGAGTTATAAACATTGTATATCATTATATTAGAATTGTATCATCCGGTGGCTGGCTACTGGCTACTTATCTCCTTCGGCCTTGGGGGTTTATTCTCAATTGTTGCCTGAAATGCTATCAACTTATCTGCACTCATCATCGGCTTACAAGACAACGGAGACTGGTGTAACTTCAAAATTGGGGTATAGATTGTATTCATTCTCTTCCATTTACAAATGACGGTCGACTGCCAAAATCGGGTATATTTAACACGAAACAAAAATAACAAAAGGAAATGGGAAACCCCTGCATAAAGCTTCAACAAAAGAGCCAAAAAGAAAACCAAAAAATATTCAAAATGACGGTTTAAATGACACAGGTGGTGGGATATAAGTGGCAATTCTATAAGGCTTACTCGGCGGTTTTGTAAATCTCCCTGTCCGCCATTTCAGGACGGTGCGACATGGAGTCCCGACCAGTCGCAGAGAACACAGATAGGGTATCTGTAGAGCGACGGCCATTCTCACCAGCTATCATTGGGGAAATCACACCCCGCGCGCCTATCACAGCTCGGTTGCTAGCGTTATCGGATGCCATGTTCATGAAGGCGGAATAGTCCTTGTCGCCACCAACGGTACTGCCAGTGTCCGACATCATCTCGCTTCGACCAGTGCATGATCCTGCAGCGGATGTTGGCCGGTACCTGCTGTGAGCCAACGAGAGATCGGATTTCATCGGGAGAGTTCCTGCTGCGTGAAAGAGACCCCTCGTGCTGGCGCTCTCATCGGTGAATTTGTTGTTGTTCACCCCAGGCAATATAAGGATTGGGCCAGCGCTTTTCTCCGAAAGTGGTCGAGAGAATGTTTCGGGATCTGTGGAGATACGTCCAGTGGAAGAATCGCCGTTATTATGGTGTTCCTTTTCATCCCAGCTGACAGCAGTGTAGCCGTTAGACTGCGATTTGTTGTCGGTAAGGTCTTTGTCTAAGACTTTTTCGGTTTGAGGATTCGTCGCCGGAGTGCTAGACCATGCTCCAGCCTGCCCAGCATCAGTGCTAACACGGGTGGAACGTTTGCCTGATTCCACAGCCTGCTTCTCCATTTCGATTCTGCGCTCGTCATGTCTGCTTCCCCAGCCGCTCCACATCATCATACCGTAGTTCTTTTTGGCATGTCGTTTTGGTAGTACACCTGGAGCAGCTCGTCGAGCGGCCAAAGAGCTTGGGGGAGGACATTCGCCATCAAAGTCCTGGAAGCCATGCGCCAGCTCTTTCATGCGTCGGGTCTGAACCCGAAGCTTCTCCTTGGCAAATCTGATATCCCATTCCTTCTTTGCATCCAACCACATTTGGATAAGCACGGGGTTAACTGCCCCTACTTTGGCAGGGGGGAGATCTAGCACTGGGTAGGAAGAGGGGGGATCTAGCTGGAAGACATGCCCTCGTTTATCGATTCTTTGCCGTATCATGTGCTCATGGAAGGCTGGAAGAGGATCCCCGGCCTTTCCGACAGACGAAGGCCCAGGTCCACTAGGCGGACGGTTCAGTGCGGTTTGGAGGCCCGGGATATCTTCATCTTCTGAGCTGCTTGACGAAGCGGCCGAAAGAGCACTATCATCCGTAATTTCAACCTCGCCATTCTGTGCACGAGCCAGTGCCCAAGAGCCAAACTGGGCAATGGAACGGAACATGTACTTGGCTGGTCGCGTGAAGCTCAGAGTTGGAGCGACATGGCATAGGTCGTCCCAAACCTGAAATTGTACATAAGTTGGTTCGTATTTGTTCAAAGTTTCCCGGGTCGGATCGTTCTCATCGAGATATGCGTCACTGGGTGGGTATGCTGTCGGATTGGCTGCTTTGTGGGCCACGTAGAATTGCTCGTCACGAAGCGTCTCACCGCCGCCGCTCAATATGTGTAGAGGCGGCAGGCCACCCAGTGAGGGTTGGAGTACTGGCGAAACAAGAGGGTGGGACATGAGTTGGTTCGTCGTGTACAACTGGATTTGGTCCTTGAGTTCGACTGTCTTCCCGTCCAAAACAACGTGAATATTATCGGGTTCAGCATGCAAAGTAGTAGGACTCGGGGCTTGTTGCAGGCCAGGGTAGGCAGCCTCTGCTGGGGCTGAGGTGTTCTCGTGGACAGTATAACCACGGATGGCAGTCTCTTCAGCAGTGCTGTTCGGTTGGGGAATAACTCTGTTAACTTCCTCGGCAGTCACCCTTGGTTGGCGTGACAATCTTTTTATTTCCAGAATTTCATCGGCATTGGGAGGAGGCCAAGCGGCCGAAGGCTTATGCCGGAAGCCATAAGCAGGGACATAATCACCTGGGTTGTCTTTAACAATACTCGGGAATGAGTGTGTCAGATCAACCCAGGGTGAGATCAAGATAGCGCCCGCGGGTAAGGGTATACCTTGGTCTCTCATGATGACTAGCATCGATAGAGCCATGCCTCCGCCCGCAGAATCACCAGCAAGAATGATTTCCTTTGGTTTGTGGGACTTAAGCAGCCAGAGGTAAGCCGCCATACAATCATGCAGGCCACACGGGAAAGGGAACTGCGGCGACAGTCGATACTCCGGTGCAAACACACGTCCCTTCAGCTTGCGCGCATGTCGCTGCATCATATACCGATGGGTATCCACACTTCCGAAGAAATACGCCCCACCATGGATATAGAGCATCACACGATTACAATGCCTGCCGGCCCCCTCCGTTTGATTGTAGTGGTTCCGCATCTCAACCCACTCCCCCCTCAGCTCTTCGGACGGCCCACGCCATTGCCACCATTTCTCTCCTCCCACTCGTATGACGCCCTTGTGCCCTAGTTGCTTTGTGACAGCTTTTGCAGCAGAGGACAAGAACTCGTCAGGGATTGTGATGGTCTCGGTTCTCACCCAATGTGGGCTTGGGACCCATTGGCGAGTGAACGCCTGGAGGTCTTCGACGGGGTGTTTGGATGCATAGAATAGGAATTGACGAACAATCTGGATACCCTCATCGTAGGTAACGTGAACGGTGGGTTTGTTATGTAGCGATTTGCGATTCAAGTACTATAGATGGGACATCAGCTGAACAACCCTGACCATATTGCCACAAGAACTTACATGACTGATGAGAGTATGAAGGACAGTGGGGGTTAATGCCACACCTAGTGCAGCTGTGTGTAATGGCATACTGGTTCTGTTTGGGGATAGTAGTATGCCAGCTGTCGCAAAACCAGAAGAAACGAAGGAAAACCAAGAAACCAAAGCCAACGAGATTTAAATGAAAGACAAAAGGGAGAATATCTTGAAATACCCCGACGTCATTTAAGGAGAGGAAAAGGCACAGGAGAAGAAGATCCAATTGATTTGAGGAAAAGAGAGACCAGGGGCTATGATGTCATCGGGGAAAATAGACCTCGGATCTGCGGTGGATTTCGATCTGAACACCTCGATCTCTTCCTCAGCCTCTTAACCTCCACGCCTTTACAAATTGGCTCTCCTCGGTCGTCCAATCCAACTCACTGTCACAATATAAACTATCGCAATGATCCCAGCAATAACACAAGTTGCAATGACCGCCCCACGCGGTCCATGCGCAAGCTTAAATCCTAGCCCAACATTGATAATACCCAAGATCATCATCAACCGTCCAAACCAGCGGTGCATATAAGCAAAATGTCCTTTCCTCCCCGTTTTCCGGAAGAATATGTGCTGCAACATGCCCATGGCAGGTTGGAAAAGAGCAAGGGTTCCGACAATGATCATTCCGAGGATGGTATGGTAAGAATCGATCAATTCAATCTGCCGTGCCATAGAAACACCAACTCCAAGGCCCGCAATTGCCACAGCCAAAGTGAGGAGTTGAAATGTTCCGTGAATGTTCACCGTCCATTTGGATGGGAAAACATGAAGTCCGAGTGCGAAGAAAGGGAACATGACCACAAAAGCGAAGACCATGAGCATAGCATGAGCCGTCTTTTTCCTTCTGATTGTGTTTCGGAAGGCCGCATACTCCGGATCTTCTTCACTGGGGGAGATGGAGACTCGGTCCATTTGCGCGAAAGGGTTCACTAAGCTGCCGCCCGTCGCTCTTTGCAGGTCGATGAGCATGACACCGTGATAATCATGATGGGTGATATCCTCAGACACATTGACTGAATTTAGGGATTCTCCATATTTAATCGCCCAAATCCACGGACTCGAGGAGCTGTTTACGTTCTCTGTTCCCCCATTCCATTTCAGGCAGGTATCGCATTGAACATTGGCAGTGATGACTCCGTCGCGCACACCACTGCCATTCAGAATTGTAATATGGGCGTCCTTGTTATACAACGGTTGAATCTCCCCGACACCCGACCGCGGAGAAACAGTAACATTGTTGCCAGATGTGTACACCACAAACATATTGGCGCCTGCCATTTGCCTTCCTTGGCCCATGGCAAACCACTGCACTTGGCGCGTAGAATTCATCTGGAAGTATATGGGGCCCGAGCCCGATCTGGCGGTATTATCGGGGACATTGAAGCTATAAGTGATCTCATCGTGGCCTTGAGGATGAAAGCTTTGAACTTGGGCCAGGGCAGGAATAGCCCAGAGCCAAGAAAAAATATACCGAACCATTGCAGAAATCGAGATTGACTATTCGGGTTTCAGGAAGGGAGTCATCCCAATAAATACCTTCCAGCTCTTTGTTGCACGGTTGACATCCCAATTGGGCTACGTCAGATCCAAGAGTCTTTGTGGCTACGGACTTCTGAATTTTCCACACACATTTGGAATACTTCTCAAAGAGTTGAAATGTTACCTTACAGGATGCCTATTCGAGTAGCTTAAACTGACTATCTCTTTCCATGTCTCAAGCTATCTCAAGTCAAAAGGGCAATACGAGTTTACTGCGCCTCCAGGGCTCACCATGTCAAACCCATGTCGGCATCTGGAATTTCCGACCGCATCAAAAATCGAGGCTACCGCAATTCCTAATGAGTTCTTATTTTGGGTAAATATGAGTGGTCGATCCAGAGAACTGGAAGTCATCCCGATGGCAAAGTCTATATAATTGCAGCGTGCTATGTCCTACCTACGGTTTTGGCGTAAACTGATGCAGATTATGGGGAAATAGGGTTATACATAGTTTCAAGGTTATGTCCTTGTCTATTGGTCAATGATCTCATACAGAAAAGAAGACATGTCTACGTTCCATTAACTTGATATGTTGAATACAGACACCGCAATGAAGTTTTCTTTTGCTCTTAGGGCTTCCATTCCTGAACGTCTAGTATGGAAATACGGATGGTGTCAGTATGACAACTAACTACTGTTGAAGACAGAGCGTCATTATTGTGTCTCCCCGGGAGAAAAGCTCGAGCTTCATTCGACCAGTAGAGTCACTCAATGTCTCATGCCTATTTTTGTAACCCCTGCTATTTTATGATCGGCTCCTTTCTAGCGGATTTGTCCTAATTACAGAGAAATCAGTAAGCGTTAAAACAAAGACTTGGTTACTCTCACCAAGGACACAAATTCAGTTTGGTACTACTATGGTGAGAATGACCATTGCCACGCCCCCATGGGTGGTAGGTAGGCTTAGCTTATTCATCTTTTGTCAGCTCCTGTTGCAGGGATCCCCATTGGCTTTTGCAAGCAGACTACAACAAATTCAAAAGGCAGCACTATACCTGCAATAGTTTAGGATCACTCGGAGTCTTAAGGATGAGTCGCGGAGCAGTACGGCCAGCGAATCGGTGAGCTGAACAACATGCTCTATTTCAAGTTTATTAAACTCGGTCAATAAAATTACCACGGCCATGTGTATCCGTATGGCATTGTCTCCCTGTTTATGATGTAGGGTTATCAACATTGGTGCTAAAAACAGCTGATATCTGTCCAGATCAGACTATCACAACACAACCATGTGTCTCTGTATGATAGCTTAGGTCACTTGCTGTGAACAAGCGATGCTCTAACTTGGCGAAATCTGTTTTTATGTTTCCACCGCAGAGGCCGTGGTGCAAATTTCCTATCTGTTCTAGGAAAGGAAAATCCACTCATATCATAAGATAATGACAGCTCATAGCATGATATATTCAAGAATGGTAATCTAGACTCATTTTTTCTGTGCGCTTATTCTGGTGCTATCGCCCCTATATAGACATCAATAAATACATATAAAAAGACAAAAAAGAGGCAAAATATGTACAGTCCTCCCCTCCTTCCTTTGAATTGCTCTTGTCTGGGATGTCACCTTCTCTTAGCTGGTCCTGTTCCTATGTCTAATCTTCAAACACCATTTTTACCACATTGCTTGTTCAAATCAAAATTCTAGGTCATAGCGAGATATATTCAAATCATCAGGCAAGACCTTATGACTACGGATCCCGATACCTGTAAAATTCGAGGTCAGAGATTGTTGATCAGCCACAAGGTCCGCACAAGCTTCCATGCGGTACTCTGCAGAAATGAGATGTGGACAATATTTCCACTTTTCGGGCGAGCTAAGCAAAATGGGCTCAAATGATTGCAGCGGATATGGTCGATCGCATTCTCGTGCCTTTCTTGGCGCCGCAGAAGGTCCTCAACGCCGAAGCGGATGCCTTAACGAGTGTGCGAACATAAAAGCTACAAGCCATGCTAGATCCTGAGCCCAGTCACAGTCACAATGCTCACCAAATTATCTCTCGCAGTGGTGGCGCTGGTCGCCCAGGCTTTTCCCGGACTTGGAGATATTGAGCCAGCAACGGTCAAAGTGACAACCTCGAAAACAGTACGTGGTGAACTGGCCAATATTTATCTCAACTGGTTTGGTCAACAGCCAAGTTTGATCAAGGCTGTATATGCGCCCTGTAACGGCGAGGATTCATTGACGAAGGGGCAAATCATCGGACAGTTTTCAATCCACGATCATCCTCCCCAAAGACTGGTTTGGGCGGTTCCAGAGGAAGCTCCGGCGCACCATTGTGTATACGTATATGGGGTTGACGACTCCAATGAGATGCAAAAGACCTTGGGCAAAAGCAGCCCTGTCTCCTTGCAGAAGAAGCCTAAGAAACGATCTGCGGCAGACACCAATATCCCATTGCTAAAGGACTTTGATGCACAGGGAGCATGGTTCGATGGAGTGGCCAAAATCAGAGACAAAGCGGAAAGTAACGGAGGGGTTGCTTCAAAAAACTCGCCAAAGGATACCTCGATCGCGATTGTTGGAGGCGGGATCTCCGGGCTTGCAACGGGGTTGATGCTGGACAGCATCGGTGTACACAACTGGGAGATCATCGAAGCCAGCGATCGCGTTGGTGGCAGATTTCGCACAAAATATGTTGCCGACACTCAAGAATGGGCTGAGATGGGACCAATGCGACTTCCATACTCTGTCACTTACAAAGACGACAATGAGACACTCTTGTATTCTGATCATCAGTTGACTTTCCAAATGGCCAAGATTTTGAACAACATGAACAGGAATGAGTCGCAATGGAAGATTGATTTTATTCCCTGGATCCAACACAGTCCCAATGAGTTGTATGCTCGAGGCACTCGCCGTCATCCAGATGGAAGAATCCCAACGCGGTCTGAAATCGAGGAGGATCCAAGCCTGGAGGAACCCTCAGCAATGACAAGTTCCGAATACACCAACACCGAGAACCAGATGCACAAAATCCTTAAAGACGAAAGGACTCTCAAATCTCTTCAGAAAGATGTCTGGAGAGCCCACAAGACCGCCATGGACCAAGGGCTCGATGACTGGAGTGAACAGGCAATGATGCGACATGTTTTCAAGGCCAGTCAAAACATCACCGACGAAATCTGGACCTCATCCGACTACGATGTATTCTGGGATGAGCTGCATCATAACTCCAATCTCGGCCTGGATGGAAGCAAGGACAGTATGGGCGAAACAGAATGGCTGTGTATCGATGGAGGATTCAACCGCCTGTCCGATGCTTTTCTTCCTCATGTTCGTGACAGGCTTACTCTCAATCGAAAAATCCGGAAACTGGAACCAGTCAAGGGAAGTGATGGTCACACCCGCACTCGACTGTCATGGTACCCGAACGTCTTAAATCGCACCTTCGAATACAAAGAGTACGACTACACAATCATGGCAGCGCCATTCACCATGACCCGCTTCATGGATCTGCCCAAATTCTCCTCGGTCCTAGACCGCGCGATCAGCGAAGCCGGCCTGCGATTCAAATCTGCATGCAAAGTTGCCCTACTATTCTCCGAGCGATTCTGGGAAAGGGGCGACCGACCAATCTTCGGCGGCTACTCCAAGCCATCCAGTGACTCAGTCGGTGCACTCTACTACCCAGTCTACGGACTCAACGAGTCCCGTCCGGGTCTAATCATGCACTACCGTGGCGGGGATTGGAGCGACCGATTTGTGAGTTTCTCCGACGAAGAACACGTCCAGACGGTACTGGACTCAATTGTCAGCCTGCACGGTGAACAAGCGCGCGACCTCTACACGGGAGATTATGAGCGTCTCTGCTGGCTTGAGGATGAACATACTGCGACTTCTTGGTGTCGGCCGGATGTTGCACAGCATCAACTATACATTCCGGCTTATCATCAGACGGAGCATAACACCATTTTTATTGGAGAGCATACTGCACCAACGCAGGCTTGGGTTAGCTCTTCGCTGCATTCTTCTGTTCGTGGGTCGGTTCAGCTGTTGTTGGAGTTGGGTTTGGTGGATGAGGCGAAGGAACTTAACCAGCGGTGGATGGGGAGATGGATCAAGTTATAATGTTTCGGTCTTGGTTTGGGGTAAATTATTCTAAGAGAATGAAAATACTGTAAATGTGTATATACCGAATTTTAGGTGGCGATTTCCGTGCCGCTCCCTTAAGGGTACCCAGCTGAGGGGGTCTAGAAAAGACTTGGCGGGGACTAGAAAAATGCTTACCTAATTTCTAGTCCCCTTCAGCTTCTGATCTAGTCCCCCTAGGTGCCCGCCCAGAGCTTAAGTAGACCTCGGGGGCAGTAGCGGACTCATAAATTTAGTAAACCAGATATGCCCACCTTATAGCCTAAACACAATGGCTACTACGGCAAGTTTTTGGGTCCTAATTACATGAGTGGATGATTTATTAGTTAGCCACTTATTCTACGAGGATACATATAGTCATGATATTCTGCAAAACGCTTAAATGAGAAGGGTCATGGTAATCGACATAATCGACATAATCCATTTATTCATGCCATGCACAAAAGGCTTGACACAGAAGAGAAGCCTAATCAAACCCATTTTGAAAGTACTACCGGACAATCTTTAATTAAAAAAAAAAGTGATATAATCACTCAAGGTGAACAAACAACATTTGCCTTAACTTATCTCCCTCATCCCTCATAATCCTTTCCCACACATAGTCCTTTCCCACACATAGTATTAACCGAAGTTTACAGTTCTTCCTCGTCCTCCATATAATCATCATCTGGACAATCCACCTCTTTGAATACCCAATAAACACAATCAGCCGCATTCGCGGTCTGGTAAACATATCCAGTTGGGTACGTCGCCAGCCCATTGTAGTTATTGTAACTGTTTTTCAAATTAACACAAAGGGAGCACTTCTTCTTCTGCTCATCCAAATCACCCCCCTGAATAGCATCATCGCGATCACAACTCTGATGCGCCTTGAATGGCGCAATATAGTTCTCGATGTCACGGTGAATATTTGGATACAAAAACACTCCAGCGAAACCCATCCAGGTCGGACCCTTGGACCATGCCGAGCCGTGCCCATCCCAGAGATAAAAACGGTCATTCTTGTACACGTTTTGGTCGTCTTGCTCACGCTTGCAAGATCCCCGGGGGGAACGGCAGACGCGGAATGGGCGCCGGTTATCGTCAGCGTCATACCGGTAGTATGCGCCTTGTTGATAACCTAGCTTTTGCTTTTTGTTGTTTTCCAGTCGGTAACATTTGCCATAATAGAGGCCTAGCTCGTCCTTTTGTGGTTGGATTGGTGGCATGGGAGAATCATGGCATGGGGTGAAGAGGTTTTGGAGGCCCGGGAGGGGTGGCATCGGGGTTGATGGGGCACTATGGACAGAATGAATAAGGAAACAAGCTAAGAGGAAGTTGAGATATAGAGATAGTTGAGGCATATTGACGTAATGACCACTTGGTAGGATTGAGGACTGGTTGGACGACGGAGTTGTTGGTGTGATGCCGCTGCTAGAGTGTTGATCTAGAGTGTGGTCAGCTCGTCTATGCTAGAAGAATGACAGGTTTAAATATCCTGGCGTAGGCCCAACTAGTGGTGATATCAAACAACAAATTACCGAGCTTCAGGGTATAGTGGCAACATGCGTAAACTCTAGAACCTCTACGTGGATATCCACCCATGGTATGACTGCAGAAGCAAAGTAGGTAAAGCGAGCTATAAAGTGTTAATGTCATAAGAAAATGCATGTTCAGAAAGCCTTTTATGGGACAAAGTTAAATGAGAGCTTCTTCAAAAACCTGTATGGTTTCATTGTTAGGTGGGATCAAAGAAACGATCCAACCAGACACCAACAACTCTTGGAAGAACTACATTCAAGAAGATATGAAGTTATTTAGTGTTTCTTGCAGCTTCTAGCAAAACTCGATGAATCATAACTAATCTTTCCAGTGAGGCATTCTGCACTTAAAATGAGAACCAGGTCATCCTTTAGGCCTAACTTATTCCTATTGGCTGTTTTAAAATCCTGCTGTTACTTCTCTTAACCATTATGCTTCCCCAATTGCTGACCTTTTGAATTTTTCTTTTCTTTTTTGGCATTTCTCCCTGCTCCAAACTATATCTATTGAGCCATGAGATCCCTGTTGGTCTTCATAATATCATTCATTTCTATTCATGTACCGCTATGTGCAGGTAACACTTGTCACACAAGCAATGATGGTCCTGCATACTGTCCACAATATCCTTACGGTGGTGGCACTGGATTTCAGTCATGCGCGAATCAAATGTATCCACCGTACTATCCTGGGCCAGAGCAACCGTTTTACCATTATCCACCCGGTCATCGGAACCCTCTTCAACCTAGCTACCCTTCCTATCCACCTTCATGGCCTGGGAATGGATTTGGCCCACCTGGCTTAAGGCCTCCCTTTTACCCTCCCGGGTTTGAACATTCATATGGTACTAAGAGTCTTTCTCCATCCACCACCAGGTACAGTGAACTAATTCAATCACCTAGGATCGGGATACCCCGGTGGGAGCCACTATGATCTATGGCTCCATTTCCTTCAACAGCAAGGACAGGGATCTCCACAGCCAAATCCCAATTGGCCTCGACCACCAAATGACAATTGCAAGAAATGTCCTCCTGGTCCTAAAGGGGACAAAGGTGATTCGGGGCCAAGAGGTGAACAGGGCCCAGTGGGGAAACAAGGTGAATCCGGAACAAAGGGAGCTAATGGCGACAAAGGTGACAAAGGCGACCAGGGTGATAAGGGCGACAAAGGTGACCAGGGTGACAAAGGTGACCAGGGTGACAAAGGTGACCAGGGTGACAAGGGCGACAAAGGTGACCAGGGTGATAAGGGCGACAAAGGTGACCAGGGTGACAAAGGTGACCAGGGTGACAAAGGTGACCAGGGTGACAAAGGTGACAAGGGTGACAAAGGTGACAAGGGTGACAAAGGTGACAAGGGTGACAAGGGTGACAAAGGTGGCAGTGGCGAGAATGGTGACCAGGGCGACAATGGTGACCAGGGCGGCAATGGTGATCAGGGCGACAATGGTGACAACCAACGTCCTAATAATAGCACAACTCAACAAGGCTTGTCGCTCTCGGAGCTCGAAGCCCTTCGGCTTTGCCAGCCCAAGTCAAATACCGATGGCAAAGAAGTCAAGGTTGGCGGTGTGACATACAAGATAAAATGTCGGCGAGTCATTGCCGGGGAAAAATACAGTGTATTCAACACGCATCGTCTTGAAGAGGCTATGGTCATTTGTTCAACCCTGCCCGGCTGTGAAGCAGTCGGCGCTAGTGGAAGTTCCATCGTCACATGGAACCCCAATCGTGATGTCGAAACAGCCCCATCACCTGAAGGAATAGTTGCTGTCGCAATGCAGGCGCGACCATCGAAAGACATTCCGCCAAACATCAAGAAGGCTCGAGGGAGCGAATGCCCAGACATTCATGGATCAACACTGGATGTAGGTGGCGTCAAATATGAGATCTTCTGCACAAGCAAGAGGAACACGCTCAAAGACCCCGTGAAAACAATGAGTGCGGAGAAAAATGTTTTCGAATGTCTTGCACTATGCTCCTCAGAGTCCACCTGCAGAGTTATTGCGCCAACGGGGCCCACACAGAAGTGCTCAATTTCTGACAAGCAGGAGTCAGGATTTGAAAACGATCAAGGGGAGAGTAGGATCTATTGGGTTGCTCGTGCCATGAATAGGGGTTAATTGGCTTGATACTACCTACGTATTGATATAGACCATGTCCTTCTGTCTCACTCCTGCAGAGAAGATTGAGGGTACACCAATTTCAATCTCCCAATGTAAATGAGCAGCATTAAAACTCAAACATGTCCAGAATACACTCATTAATTGAATAACATGAATATTTTTAACATAGGGATTCTCATATAGTCACCCACCTAGAAGGTTCTAAATTGAAGACTCGTGCCACCTTTACATTCCAGCGCTGTGTACAAACCTGTTCCGAGTGATACTATATTATGGCCGGAATCAAAATTTAATAGAACTTCTGCTTAGAGTCTAGCTCCACATCCTTGTCGAATCAATGGCGATTACTGCCAGTGGTGCAGGCAGCTCAGTCCACCTATAGAGACCCTCTCGTAGGCAACGATTCGAGCTTCAGCATCTGATCCGAGGTAATTTGCCAGAAAGTTTATAAATCAGCATCACTCAGGCTGGACGAACGCATACCGGGGAATGTTGTGGCGCCTTCCAGTTTGGGAAGTATTAATGTAACTCAAATTAATTTGTAGCATATCTGCATTTGCTGGCACCCCATTCTAATTGCTATCTGCATGTCACTTCACAATACAGTATAGCATGGCATGCCTGTTCAAACGTTGCTATGACACTATAGAAGCACCAATCAAGACCCTCTGTTCTACATGGAATGTCCCTATACTCGGCTTCTTCGGTGGAAGAATTATGAAGTACTATGGAATACGGTGAGGGAATCAAATCATATGTAATATGGCTAGGGAGCATTTTCCTATAACTAACCATACAAATCCGGTTGTATAGATGCTTAGCTTGACCCCACCCCTACCAAAAGCTTCTATGAAATCATCCAGTCATCATAGTGGTATCAACATTGTCGCAGCTGAAAAGGCACTTTACAGGGTTCAATCTGCAAACGGGGTGCATAACCTCGCCCACAGGCCATAGCAAATTTAAACAGAAATTATGCATAGCGGATATCATATAGGTGACTATGCTAGGGAAAGAGATAAAGACCATCTTTGTTATAACAGTTACCTAATACCATACAGGAGTTCTCCAGCTACCTTTCAAACGGCCTCTTGAGAGGGCTCTTAGTATTCTCTCAGTCCAAAGAGTAGACATGTCATTGTCTGATGCAACATCATTTGTTGGAGTTTAATATGTAGCCCTAAATGCTTTCCACAATCCCTCATTTCTTTATTGTACAGTCACATTCCCCTTTTTCACCTCTATCCCCCTTTTCTCCCTTTTCTCCTTTCTCGCCTCTGTCCCCCCTCTTACACTCAGGGCTCACAGGGCATGGATCTGGTTTAGGAGCCGGCGGACGATCTGGTTCTTGGGGTGGGTGTGGGTATGGGGGATAAGCAGGCATAGGATAAGGAGGAGGGATAGGATAAGGAGGAGGCATAGGATAAGGGTGCTGGTATCCAGGCGATGGTGGTGGATATGGCTGTGGTTGTAGTGGTGGTGGATAGGGTTGTTGCACAGGATAGGGAGGTTGGTATCCAGGCGGTGGTGGTGGCGGCGGCCGTACTTGATGATGAGGATAAAAGTGCTGATGATGATATTCTTGGTGGCCCATTCCATTCCCATTCCATCCAGGAGGAGGGGAGAACCCCCCCATATTCCCAAGACTAAAACATAATGGTGTATTGGGAACAACACTGCAGTAAGATGCGTACCCTGGTGGGTAGCAAGGGGGAGCAAAACATCCAGTAGAGAATTGCGCAGTGATACCCTGCAGATTAGAAATAAAAGCCCATAGTAAAATGAAATTGCCCTGCATTTCTGCACGGGAAATGATAGGCAAATGAAGTGATAGGAACACTCTTGTGGCTGAGGAAAGAAAAGTTCTCTATTGACATAAACGCACTGATTTATACTTTACTTGACTTGAACCCACGTAATTATCCGACATATCCGTTTCCAATTTTAACTGATCAGACCTGGATGAGCTGTCACAGTCTGTCACAAGCTGTCATAAGCTGCCACACCCGCATTCGTTTCTTACGTTTCGCTCTACCTTTGCATTCCATCCCTGCCATCAAAGGCAACGCACGGGCCAGGATTAAGTAGAGGTCGGTCCAATACCCTTTTTCAAGATCTATTCACACGAGTCTATGACTCTTTCATAAAGACGGCCGGTCCTGTCAAAACAGACCCAGCATGACGGATGCAAGGTGGCGTGGAAGTGGGAAGGACGTTTTAGGACTCCAACACCCACTAAGCTACGTCTCTTTACAACCCATTAAAGATCTACCGGCTAACTTACCTTTAATAAAATGTGACTAACATGGGAAGGTAGTGGTACATCTGGTGAATTTGCCGTCTTGTCAAATCCCAAGGTTCACAGAGTTGCATGACGTGACCCATCTGTTTATATTCTATGATTCATAAAAGATACAGTATGAGTATGGGGATAGGCAGTAGGCTTATGCCCATTAGCATTTGCCGTGCTGCTGTGTTTCTCCTTATTATAAGCCACTTGTTATCCTGAGGCCGTCGAAACACCGATATGCTGAGCTTCCCCATCGGATCTTGCCTCTTACAACACGGAAAAAGAGTCAATTATAGGCAATGCCTGTTCTTTCCAGCCTAAAACTTGTGGCCCTTGGCCTTCTCATATCACATCTATCTGGAGTAGTGATAGGCCTGGATGTGCCGCCAACGGGTGGTTTAGCAGGCGGCGCAGCTGGTGGAGGGCTTGGTAATACTGTATCTGGAGTTGGTGGGAAAGGTAAGGTCTTCCATCCTTTATACTGATGAATCGATAAAACAAGTGTTAACCTCTCGGTAGGGGGCCTGGGAGAGACAGTTCAGGGTCTTGGTATTGATCAAATTCTCAATCTTGACTTAGACAATCAAAAGGTGCGCTATACCGAGAGATGCATGACTATATGACTCAAAGCCTCGATGAGAGAAAGCTAAGTATATGGCTATAAACAGAAACTCGTTGGTGTGGGAGGCCAGCAGGGCGAAGCAAAGATCGACGTTCTGGCTGCAAGGCGTGCTAAAGAGAACAATAGTACAGTTGAGGAAGAGAAGCAAAAAATTAAGGATAATCAAAAGAACGACAAGAATACGAAGCAAAAGGCGGAAGAAGACCTGATAGCAGGCCGCCTCAATGTATTCTATGCATATGGCATGCAGAGTGTCGGGCAGAAGGTTCGTCCTAAATGGGTGCTGGTCTTTGAGAATGCATTCACTGCCCATGCATATTTTGGCCAGGTGATGCAAGACTATCAGGAGTATTACAAAAAGAGCAGAGAGAACTCCAAGGATCCACGTATGCAAAATTTACCTTCATATTATACAATTGCTCTGTCTGACTTGAAATAGGTCCTCATCCACAGATCTTCATTTTCCCTCATGGTGTCGGGCCTGAGGAGTTGGAGCGGGTCAATAAATACAAGGACTATGCCAACAAGTTTTTCTTCAACCTAGTTGATGAGAAGGCTATGCAGCTACCTGTCATTCCTGTGCAGGACAAGTATGGTTATGTCTTACACGGCACTAGTTAGGATCGCTTTCTTAAGGCTCTCGACGGCAACAAACCAAGGATCGTACTATTGGACTTCTACTACGCAGTTTCTTACATTCACAAATGTCATTATGAATATTTTGCCCGAGTATTTTTCACTAAATCCGTCTTCATCAGCCCTAGCGTTGTAATACCTCCATGCTCCGATGCTCTGCGACGTGCATACAAGGTTGTATCTGGCCTTCCCGGACAAGGAAATTACCGTCTCGTCGCGTCGACAAATAGTCCCCATAACCTTCGTATGCCCGCTTCCGGCTTGTAACCCTTCATTAAGATTATAGGAATATTATTCATTCCTACTTATCTGCTACATACTCTAGATAGATACATCTTGGCTGCCCCTACAAACTTATCAAGCCCTAACCCAGCATATTTCCACTCATTATCTAACTCTTCATATCAACGAGGAAATGAAGATCATAGACACTTCAACGACCTCACTCGCATTCCTCACATTCATTGATTTGTCCTTCGCTCAAGTCGCCTACATCTGCACCTCTAACACATTATGCACGCCCGTCTCGCTATCTCAACTAGGTCAACAACCATGCCTCAACCCAATGCAGCAACCAATAGGCGGCATCCAAAATCCCTTTCCTCAATTTGGATATGGCCAAGGTGGACTCTGTATGTGTTCACATGGCGGTCCTAGCCTGCCAAATTTCCTGCCACCCCAACAACCTCCATTCATCGGTATGATGAGTATGGGCGGCCAAGGCCCGCTATTTGGATATGGGCAGCAGCATATGCCGTGCCCACCCCAGATTATTCCGGGTGGGCAATTCATTCAGCCTCAACCTGTATATCCAGTCACTCCGCCACAACCTATACAGCCAGTCATTCCGCCTCAGCCTGTACATCCAGTCACTCCGCCTCAGCCTGTACAGCCAGTCATTCCGCCTCAGCCTGTACATCCAGTCACTCCGCCTCAGCCTGTACAGCCAGTCATTCCACCTCAGCCTGTACAGCCAGTCATTCCGCCACAACCTATACAGCCAGTCATTCCGCCACAACCTATACAGCCAGTCATTCAGCCTCAACCTGTATATCCAGTCACTCCACCACAACCTATACAGCCAGTCACTCCACCACAACCTGCACCCCCACAGACCTGTGCTATTTGTCCTCAAGGACCTGCTGGTCCGCAAGGGCCACAGGGGTCTCCAGGGCCTCAAGGACAGCAAGGACCTCAAGGACAGCAAGGACCTCAAGGACAGCAAGGACCTCAAGGACAGCAAGGACCTCAAGGGCAGCAAGGACAGCAAGGTAATCAGGGTGTTAGGGGTTCCCCTGGTGTTGATGGCAAACAGGGCCCTATTGGGCTTCCTTGTACTTCAGGGTGTGCCGAATCAACTTCAGGAACAGGGCAAAATCAAGACCCACATCCTGGAGGCATCGCCAAAGGAAATGACGCAAAGTTTCAAGAGACTGTACCTCCTGCGAGTGGAAATGGAATTGCCAATGGAAATGACGCAAGTTTTGATCCAAACGTGGCCATTCCCGCTGTCCAAAATGGAATTGCCAATGACAAGGATCCAGCATTTGAGAATTACATACCGCCAGTGGCAGAGAATGGAATCGCCAGTGGAGATAATGCAAAGTACGATGACAATGTGCCTCAGCCTACTGACCACACGGGTATTGCGAAAGGGGAGGGTGCAAGCCTCGAGAACACTGTGCCTAAGCCCGTGGTCAATTGATATATTTGCATACTATGGAGATCAAGCAGCACAGTTGGGCAAGCCGATATTGACGCATTTGGAAAACGTTGATGGCTACAATTCCGGTCTCATGATTTTATCTCTCTTCGTTCTATCTACATTTTGTGCACCTACGATTTCCTGACTCTTTTCTCCCCTTCTTCTTCCCTCTTGTTAAAATTTTCTCTCCGCTGTATAAATCCCTACAGATATACGAGCTTTTTTGCTGTACTTGACAATTACATGAGCTCTGCTACTCTGCCTAACCTCGGTCCCAAATTAGGCGATTACCCAAATTGGCGAGAACGAAGATGTTAGTAGTTTTGCGGCAAAATTGTCTAAACTGACAAATACTAGAATTTACCCCAAGCGCATAAAAGGAATTAACCAAATCTCACGACATTAACTAAAGACAGCCATGCAGTGCTTGTAACAATTTTTTATAATATGCTATACAAGCTGTGGTGAGGTTTTTCGCGGATTATCGAATTAATTAACATACTTCACAACTGGTTTTAGAAACGGTCTAATGATTTCAGCTTATATGTTGTCATAGTACTCTTGAGGTGGAATGCTTACACTGTCGTTTATGTATTAAAATTTATATCTAATGTATGACATTCATCATTGTCTGCTTGGACTATTAGGGTATCTAATCATGTTTGCTACCCAAGCCTTCATCTCTCAACGTCAGTTGTTACATAGAAGGACGCCTTCGCCGTTGACAGTCCTCCTGGTATCATCAAATTTTATCTCTACTCCAGAAATTCTTCCTTTCTCTCTTAAAGTACTCGTTGAGAGTTTAACTTACCGTCCACTTACCTTTAAACCCAACAAAGATTACTAACACTAGCCTTTTACCTACTGGCACTTAGTTTGGTCAATACTTATAAATAGATTATGTCATTATATAGTTACAATCTAACTATTTAGAAGTTTATGCAAGTTAATCGCGAATGTAAATATACTAGTTATTTACATAGATATTTTTCTAAGTTACTGGTTCAGCCTTTGGGCCATTGACCAATATTCCTCACTGCTGTACATAACTCATTGGGTTTTTTTAGACCCAATGTGGTCGACCAACTTTCCAGTTACGACTACGGTTTATTGCTAGAAAAGTCATTACATTTCCTACTACTCACCGAGATAAAAAAATTATCATCTTAAAGCGGTAATTAAACCTTTGATTATAAGGGATTTTTTCCCTTAAGGTACCCAATTTATCTTTTACTACAGTCTATTTTCCGACTGTATCCAGATCTCGATCGTTACCCTACTTCTGACCTGTGGATCGAACATCCAGAGCACAAGGGTCTCTGAAAGATCGCCAGCCGCAGTGATGGCCATGTGAGCTTCTCACACGCAGAATGATTGTATGCTTCGCGTCTCGAACCTGAGATTGAGGGTCATCCCGCCGTCAAGTCAGCCTTGATTGGTGGGCATGGTTATTCGGCACCGGTGCTGCTTATCGAGTTATATCCTGGAACCGTCGAGGATGATTCTCATGATCAATTCCTTGCTTCCCTGCAACCGAACATAGAAAAGGTTAATGCTCAGGTTCACGACTGTGTGAATCTTTCTACCGATCGAATTATCATTGCGGCGAAAGAAAAGCCATTTATTCGAACGATCAAGGGAAGTGTTGGAAGGATGCAAACTTTGAACTTGTATAGAACTGAGGTTTCTGCTCTCTTTGAGTAGATTAGACTGACGGACGGCCAGAGCTTGGGATATTGGAAGGTGATGCAGATATAACCTGTTTAGCAATAACATCGCTCTGAACTACAGAAAAGGAGTCTGACCCTAGCTGAATTGAAGTGCAGGAGACGTGGTTTTGTAAGTACCCTCATTCAAGGGAGGCAGGGGGGCTTGAATTATCTGTTTGGCACGCACGCGCGTTGTGGCCATGCTTTTCAACGCTCTATACCAAACCACGAGTTAGTATCAGTTGCTGACAGTGACGTATGGTAAAATTTCTTATTGAAGCGCGTAGGAGGAGATGCTAGGACAGATTGTGGTTGACTCAAATAAGCCTATGCTTGGGTATTTCAATACTGGGAGCATTTTTGACAAGGTCAGTATAGGATCTTATTTATGCACTTAGTTTGCGTGGAATACGAATCACCTTTTTAATGCTCGCCAAGAAATACCGGTGGGAACTTTATGTCGAGGGGCTAACGCCGAGGAGTCAATGTTGGTTGAGGAGTCAATGCCGAGGAGTCAACGTTGAGGAATCAATGTGAAGGAATCAACGCCGAGGAGTCAATGATGAGGAATGAATTCTGAGAGATCAATGTTAGGGGATCAAGTTCGAGTGTTAGAACGTTGTTGTTGAGACAGGGATGGGGAAAGAAAAAGGACGGAGACTCCAGTTTCAAGTGGTCCGGTATAAATGCCTAGGAGCTCTAAGGTTCAATCCTCAGTCCGGTGCCTACCCTGCACTTTTTCTAGATTATCACATGGCTTACCCCCATCGATGTGAGTTAAGCAGGCACCCTCTCTAGTGATGACAAAATACATATGAAAATCAGCTTAACCTTCTAGCATTGCAGCCAAGATTGAAACCATTGAAATTGGGCACATTAGCTATAGTAATGGACATACATGTTGATCACCAAGTCCACTTAGTACTGTCCTTTTCCCAACCAGCTTTCCTGGGTGCTATAGCTAAGCCCCAGCCCACAAAGGTCATGTCAGTAAATTTCACTTCGGGGTCAAGGGAGGCGGATTCTCGGAAGCCTGCAATGTGCCTAAGGATAGTCATCTTATTCTGTTTGGCATTGGGCGAATGAAGATACCACATACATCGTCTGCGTAGCCTCGCCATAAATTATGTTCTCTAATCCAGGCATGCCTGGCTCCCATCCATATCGCCTCAAGTCCCTTAGGCCGGTTGGTTAGCTTCACCTCGGGGCGTTGGTACTCAGTTCCTTCAAAAGGAATCTGGAAATAGATTTGCATGAACGCTTTCGTGTCATTTGTTGAACATCCTCGATGAGCTTCTCCTCGATAACCCACTTCTGGGGCGATAGTGTAGTGAAGGTAACTTCTGTACCAATGTAAAGTTCCGAGAATCCGAGAACAGACATTCTGACAAAAGAATTTGATAAGGACACCGAAAGAAGAAGCTCGACAAAAAGAATAATAATAAGGGATCAAAATTCGGAAATAGAGTCGTGTCTGGAAGAGAGTTAGAGAAAAAAGAATTAAAGGCGTAACGGCGATGTTATGTAGTTATGTTTTGTCAACATTCTCAACCTCGTCAATCAGGCACTTATATTCTAATTACTCTGGGATCTTAGTCTGAAAGATCCAGCGTGTCTTTGTGTTCAACCCCATTCAGTCTAAATTCTGCTTGGAGCATGTAATATACATAGTCTCTCCTTATCCCCTTCTTCTCCTGCTCAGTAAATATATTCAGGGCCTGTCGCATGTCTTATCCATTCTCGGAAACCTTGTCTCATTTACCGCGCGCAAAAACTGATACCTCCGGATACTGCGAAATGACTTCCTCGAGTGGACTTGGCGATGGTTGACGAAGCCCAAACCCCAAGAAGGCAGTGACAGTTCGGTGAACAATTTCGAATGCCTTGAAACCATCTAAATTTCCGACCGTTCTTTGCATGGCCAGCATATTTTGAACAGGGACACCCAGAAGCTTCACACGCCGGGTGATATTCGCCTATGAGTGTACAGCTACCACACAGGTCCTCTCAGCTGAGCCTAGGCCAATATCCAGAGCGATTATATGTACCTACGTACTGGACATCTGGATTATCCTGGCAGATTTTGGTTCAAATGTTTCACTTTCCAGATTAGTGCTCACCTCCTCGCCGCTTTTGCTCGGTAGAATTACGAGCTTCCTGATTCCGTCCACCAACCCCACTCAACACTTCATAATATATTCATTTCTTTGCACATTGTCCTTTATTGATAAGCGAGGGTTCCTACCTGGTCCTCAGCCACACACTCCAATTTCATCTCAATGGATCTTTCTCAACTTCCGGACATCACTGGCTTGCTTGTCAGGCCAGATAACCCTCCACGAGATGATGTCGAAGGGATGGATTACCCACGATGTGCAGCTCTATACAACTATCTGGTCCAATATTCCTGGCTCGCTGAAGGTCGTCCGCTGGCAACTCTGAATGAAAATAGTGCCAACTTTTTCACGGCTTTCGGTGCTGAAGCTGAAGCTCTTCGTCCAAGGCTTCATCCGTCACTGGTGGCTTTCCTTGACACCGCTATGATACCTCCTAGTGATAGCCCTGACCAGTTTCCCCCGCCACTCTCTATTTTCGCTTGGGGGCTCCCTACGCCAGACGACTTTATTGAGGAATTTGTAGCTGATCTTCAAGACCAGCCGGTTGATAGCCTGGTGCGCTTGAGTCCTGTGGGTTTATCGGGCGAGGGCAGCGGTGGCGGTGTTATCTACCACCAACGCTTCCATCGCGTCGCGGTCTTCATGCATCTTGATTCCTATGACTACGGGTTCCCAGTTGAGGATCATCCAGACATTTGGAACACACTAGAGACAGTGCTCTCCCACTGGATCGACCTTATTCAGCTTGGAAAAGTTGTGGCTTCGCCTCATGAAGAGCCAGCCCTATTCGACTTCGAGAAGATCGGGCCCTGGGAGTGGCGCCCCTACAGCGAAGCCCAGGTTACTACGTGTGTCGGCGCGTGGAATCGACTGTGTCGGGCCATTGAGGCGCGCATCTCACAGCTGCCAAACCCACCATCACTGATCGGCCCCATTTCCGAGATTGATGCGGACAATCCGGAGCCACTGGTCGTATCAACCGTCCTAAATGCCGCTTCGGTGCCCGATCCTTCCTTTGCGCGTTCGTTTCTGACGCGCGCGAGACGCCCCCGGTTCCACTACATCGCTCCGGGCCTTCTCTTGCCTCCAGCCGACTCGTCTGGGTTTGTGGCAGCACAGCCATTTGCCGTCTTACCCCGCTCTCAGCACGCCGCACCGCCAGTGTGCCTTTTCCCCGCTGAAGGCGGAGACCAGCGTCCTATCCAGCTCACGAGAACAACAACTCCATTTTTATTGTTGGATTACTATTCAATGTCCACCGATACGCTCACACCGTCTCGCATCTCCGCAGGCCTGTATACCGCGGCGGTGGAGAGAAACGGTCTTGACACGGCCGAGGACGGATTTCGGCTTTTGCTTCCATTCACCCTTAATGATGGTTGGGGCAGGAGCGTAGGCGCACGAAGAAGCGATGGGGAGCTTGCTGATAAGGGAAGCTTCGCAGACCTCTTTCAGCATGGATTCAAGCCTTTTGGTGGTGACTACTACCGCCCTCAGCGGTTGGAGCGTTTGTTGGATTGTTGGCACAAGCTGGTTGATGAAGGCGTCTGGTCTGTTGGGCCGAAAGGGGTAGAAGGTACTATTGATACTTTCAAAGATGCTGAGTCGGATCGTTGGGAGGATTATTATATCCCTCCAACATGGTAGATATCCCAGAGCCATCCCATCCCGCCTTTAATCCGGACACTATTTCTGCGCTCTATTCTGTGGGGATGGAGGTACTAGGTAGTAGGTAGTCACCTAGTCACCTGGGCAAGACTTACATCCCATTTACTTCCGAAGACCTCAAATGTTCCTAAGACAGACATGCAATTTCATAAGAAACCAATCACGAGGATACGCTATCGAACAACTACCATTTTCCTAACTGATCGTGATTTATATACAAATTTAGTCCCAATCCTTCAATTGTCATTTATATCTTTTCAACATTTGAACCCAGCTCAGAGCCCGCCATATATCTTTATGAATCCCCAAAGTTGCCTGAATGTGGATTTGTTCTAGATATGAGTTAAAGACAAAAACTACTTAATCATGTTCATTCAGACTCGAGAGACGGAACGTAGGGCGAATCTTCAGGGCGCATCAACTGGGTTTATGCACTTGAACCACCAATTGGCCGCAGGTGAAAAGTGCTGTCAAGGTGGAGGACATCAAGCAATATACAAGAAAGCTCCATTGGCCAGTTGACATGTTTAACCCCGTCAGCCATACACAAACAGTGCAGGTGTCACCACGCTTCCCGATCTCGTTTGGGCCCCAGTCGTAAGGGATCGTGGGTCGGGACTCGCTGCCAGCCGGAACACCCGTCATGATAGTAACGGTGGTGGGATCAGCAGTCACCTTGTCCGAATTGGAACTTTTAAGCGCCTCCCTGGTCCAGGGGCCAGCATCTGGGTCGCCGACATACATATCCACGGCCTTGCCGTTCTCGTTAAGTACGATACGGACTTCGGAGTGCGAGTCGTAGTCCTCGTAGATGATGTTGCATGTTCAACCGTCGACGGGTTTGCCATCCAGATCGACAAAGAGGAGACTATCATAATCAAGGTCGCGATAATCATCCTGTTTTCCATTGCCAAGTGATCTGAGGTCAGCGAGGCAGACGCCAGGGGGGTCGCTAAGCTCCACAGGGGATGTGTCATTACCGAGAAAGCCTCTTTGGAATACGACGGGTTGAGAGTCGTAAGGTCGGTCTGCAGCGTTCGCCATCGGGGCTGGATCGATGCGCCAGGACTGTCGAGGCCACCCATAGATCACCAAAGGCGCATTCAGCGCCCCCGAATCCAGGAAAATAGGTAAGCCACCTAGAGCAATTGTGCCAAGCGTTCCGACCCCGGAAACAATCTCCGCACAAAAGGTCAATACATTGTGGCCAATATCGTCCCAGAGATTGAATTTGATAATTTCGAGCAGCGTTTGAGGGTTAACTCCCACCTTGGAATAATTGTGCATTCATAATAGTGACCTACAATCTCGATTTAGATCTACTACCTCTATCCGAGCTAGTTTTGATCCGATTACACCAAAGTCCCTTGATGCAATCGGATCAAAACTTTGCCCCATAGACACATACTGGCATACTGGTATTCACTCAACTTATCCTGATTTTCTATCTCTTGCTTTTTTTTTCTCTAGCTATCTTTCAGCAGCATTCAGGTATGCCTACTATAATGAAACCTTTGACGATGTGGGGCGGGTTGATCGTCGTGTATCAAAGATCCCCATGGGGGTAACACAGGGAATGGCCCTTTCAGGGTAGGAATGTGCGGCTAGCGGGAATGCGGTCCGCACCGCATTCTCCCGCAATTCTGTTTTCATTCCTGATGTTTTTCGGGACTTACCACTCTGTTCACTCGCCTTTAATCCTGGTCTCCATTAAGAGCTCGGTCATTTAGCGTGGTTCTTTTACTATATGTTGACCACATCGATCCGACCCTTCAGCTTAAGGGTTCGAATTTTGTGTCTTTGCTCCTCATTCCAGGTCCGTTTGAACCCATTCACGTACATTGTTTTAATCACGTCACATCCAAGTCAAAATTTTGCGGTTGGTATTTGATGTTTTCGGACACATGAACAGGAAAAACTAATTGCATTGCAACTGTAATTAGGTAGGAAATACACAAAACAATCACCAGGAACATAAATCACAACAATATAGCAATATTCAACAGCAAACATTCAAATTATGGCCCCTACTTGAGAAAAGAGTTGCTCAGCGTTTCTCAGAGCCATCGACAACCGGCGATTTTCTAAAAGTAGCGACTTGCTTTCGGACCTTCACCTTGTCTTTTGGTTTAGGTTGGAAATTGACTCTTTTTTCGAAAACCATCACACAGTCAGATCCACCAAACTGGAAGTATGAAATGTTTTGCCCTTTTTCGACATGGTCGCCCTTTTTCACGGTCAATACAACCGATGACACTTGAGCCATTCCGATAGGCAAAATGGCTACCTTGCCATACTCCTTGGTTCGGATCACAATCAATCCCCGAGTTTGACACCACTGGTAGCCAGCATCGTCTGGGGCATCAAGATCCTCGTTTGTGGGGTCTCGAGAGCTGTCATTTTCACCACCTTCACCTTCAGACTCGTATTGAACACGCACACCTCGTCGACGCTTGACTTCAGCTGGGGCACGAACCATCGCGCGATCCGCATAAATCTTTCCGGTAGTGGTGTTCTTCGCCACCTGCAAATACACCTGGTTCTGGATCACTCTTGCCTCGATAACTTCCCCAGTTACTGGTGCATGCTGACGATGATAATCAGCGGGTCCCAAGAAAGAGTGGGTGAAGTGGCCCTCATCCCAAATATCTTCCGTGGTCTGCAACAGGTCTTTGACAGGCCAGTTGTCATATTTCACACCCTTGATCTGAAGTTGAATTCTCCCCTCCGTGATCGGCCAATTTCCGGCATAAGTCGATTCAGCGGGCATCGTGATCACATTGTCATTCAAGGGACCATCAACGGGCCGCGCGTGGTCGATGTTTTTCCACTTACGCGAAAACCAGTGGTTGAAAGACTGCCAACCGGATGTTGGCTTTTCCCACGATGCCGCTTCTTGGTTGTATTTTGGATTCAGATAGAAGGTGTAGAGCAGCCCTGCGGACTCCGGGGTACTCAAGAACTGTCCCTGTTGTCGTGCAAAGCAGACGAGCCAGTATGAGAGCCAGGATAGGTCGTTGTTGGACGTTTCAGGCGAGATCGGGGTTTGCAACCCGAGAACACTCGGCTGGTCGAAGACCCAGTAGAAGACCAAAATCCTGCGCAGCAGTTCATCCCCAGTTGTGTCCACATTTGGCACCCATCGCAAAAGTCTCTCACAATATTGGAGATAAGAGTCTAGGGTTGTAATCCCTTCAGTATACATCTCATCTGGTCCATCATCGAGGGCAGATTGAATCGCGGTATTGAAATCCCTCACTCGAGTTGGGCAGCGACAGATGAAATTCTTCAGGTCGAGAATGAGTCCCTCTTTGGACTCATAGGTTGGGGCATTCGAGTGGTCCATTGTTGCGAGTTTTGAAAGTCTGGGCAGACTAGTGGTACTTGGTATTCAGAGTATTAAGGAGGTGTTGAAGAGTGCTGCTCCGACTGTGAGACAGGGACTGCCCCGAAATATTTATATTATGACTTACCTCTTTGCATAGACATATTGAGCACTTCACCCATCATGAAGTGACGCAAATAGCTCGAAGATGTGGAAACATATGACGTTGACAACAGCGAAAAATGTATAGTTTCCCTTATACAAAACGCATAATAAAGTCTATTTACCACAAGACAACGCCTAGGCCGAGCCGAGTGGAGGATAATGTGACATGATGAGCAGACTACTGTTAAATGTTACATGGTATCCAATGCACGCTGAATCTCTATCAGTGTCTAGTCTAGAGCTATTCTGAATCGAAGAGGCGAGTGCATCGATCCTTTGGTAGATAGTCTACTGCATGGAGCCAGAATTGTTGACGGAGTGTATGTAGCTGACAGCAACAAGATGTATATAGCTTCGGGGAGATTCAGCAGCTGGTGCCTTTCAGGAACTCGTAGTATTGACGGTGATCAGCTTCTATGACACGGAAACAGACTGTTCAATGTAACTCTTTTCATGACTGACTTGGGAGGATGCCACCTGCTCCACTGACCGTCTGTCCATAGCATTGGTCCAATTGCTCATTCAGGCTTCCGTGTTCGGTGATATGCAGTGTAGAATAACCTGTGGAGTGGAAACAGCGAATGTGACCGGATACTGTATCTGCCTATGTCTGGGATCATGTAACTGTGGTACCCTGCAAGATCTAGAATCACAACCGCCAATGAACACTTTGGAGTATGATCGAATATTAGCAGATCTTTTCTCATTGCTCGACGGAAGCGTTCATCTTAGCTCGGTTTCATGAGTATTATGTAGCATCATGTGCTTGGTGCCTGGTCTGTCGGGCCTCACCTATCCAGGTTAACTAGTAAACTTCCTGTTTGTTTGTAGAGAATCAATCCTTTCCTTCTCTCCTCTCCTCACCTTATCATGATGGCTCGAAGTGATGGAACATTTTCTAGGAACCACACGTTCAATGAAGGGGTAGTCAGGTTCCACTTTGAACGAAGATCACAAATCGATCATGTCTGCATCAATCCAGAGACCAATCATGCACACACAGGAATCTTTGTCAAATATAACAACTGTCATTTTCCTAACTCTTTATTTCATTTTCCTCCTTCTGTCTTGTGCCTGTGAATGAACGCCCTTGTTGCTATCCAGAAAAAAACCATGTCATGGCGCCCACAAAATGCCTCTCAGGCACTTGTCATATAAATGTATTTACTTATTACGTTTATAAATCCCCGGGGCTTTTTTCACTCCCCAATCTTTCTTTTCTATCAAAAACCAGCTTTTGGCGTCAGCTTGGCGTGGTGTACGCCAGGTTTTTGGGTCCACCGCACCAACCCATGTACAAGCCTCTGTAAGCATAAGATTATTTCTCAATTTTAGATAATTTCATGAACTCGATATATGCCCTACTCCAAAACACCTATAATATCTAAATCGCTCGTACATCCAGCACAGAAAGTCTAACGCTACTATAAAACCCACTTTGTTATCATCTTTATATCGATCTTTTTTGGGGTCATTTCTGGGGTCTTTTAGAATATAACCGCTAACTATCCCCTAATATTACTAGTGGGGCCACCCTTGATACGACTATTTCTATACTTAAGAGACTACATACATATTTGTATAAATGTTGATGGCAGCTGGTTAACTTTCTGCCGGCAAAAAACCCGGTTGGAGCGATGGACACAAGAATCTGCCGTAGTGACGTTCTATACTGCGAGCATCACTGGCCGGCATATGCTGCGTGGCTTTTGCTCTCGCGTTGTTTGAATTAAAGAAACATCGGAAGATGGGCACCGCTCTACAAGGTGGCGCAAGTCAAAGCTTCCAGCTCTGGCAGCGTCTAGCGTATCAACACCAGAAAACATTTACGTTGTATGAAAGGTCGCTCCGGCCTTGTCACACAACATCTGGGGATTTATGAAGGATATGTGGTTATTTACGTGTCGTCCGTTCGTAAGATCGTGGCGATGGGTAGCCGCAATTCAACGGGAGTCTGTTAAGTATTATCTGGCTGGCAGTGGATTCGTCGGTGGGGCTTAGTAAGAGGAATAACCCTAGAGGGTAACGGGGGGGGCCTTGCAGCCTTGCACATGTGGAATCGTAAGGTGCCCAAGATAGCCATTTAGATACCTCTACCACGACAAAATATCTCCAGTTAGCGATATGAACTTTCCTGACACATTTTCCCTTGTAGCATTGTCAATAACACCAAGCATTCCCTTGACACTTGCCTCAACAGTCAAGGGTGGGCCACCAGGATATCCCCACTCCTTTGCAACAAAATCCCCCGCTCGCGTTTGCACCCAGCCAGGATGCAGAGCAAACGAAACCAAGCCATCTTTCTCATTTTCAACATGTAGAGCCTTGGTAAGCCAGTTCAAGGCTGCTTTACTGGGACCATATGCTCCACCGGGAACAGGCTCTTGAGCAGCGATCGAACCGACAGAGGAGGAAATGACCACGAGCTTGGGCGCAGAATCCGATCTCTGCATGAGTGGCCAGAAGGCCTGGAACACGAGGAGTGGGGCGATGGTGTTGACCTCGAACGACTTACGGAGGTCTTCCGCCGATGTCAGAAGAGCTGGAGTCATGGGTGTTGCGAATCCTGCATTACAGATGAGCACATCGATATGCGTCACTGTACTAACTGCTGATGCGAAAACCTGTGCAATCTCTTCGGGGGATATCGCAGTTGAAAAGTCCAGTTCGAGAATATGGAGGGCGCTATTTTGGCCAATAACAATGCCTTCAATGTTTGACCTAAGGCTTGTGGCAGCGTCCTGGTTGCGCACTGAGGCCACGATGGTCGTGGCAGTGCGTTCCAGTAGCCGTTTGGTCAGTCCGAGACCGAGGCCTCTGTTTGCACCTGTCACAACGTATACTGTGTTTGCAGTGGAGGCCATTATCATGAGTGGATTTGATATAGGACTCTTTTTGTTTCAAGAAACAACAGAGGAAAGAAAACAAAGGCGCCCCCTCCTTTTATACTTCCCCCCCTTTAATACTTGGGGGCTTATGCGAAGCGCACCAATCAGGGCTGAGCTCATCACGCCAACTGTCAGCATTGTCATATTTAATTCAAGGCCATACTGCTGCTTATAGTTATATATTCAATCATATCAAAGATCTAACTAACTATCAAGTTTTCAGGTAAGACATTTAGGCGTTCAGGCATTCAACCGCCAAGTCCCCCCCTGAGATATTACCGAGAAATCCCGCAATCACCGAAATCATTGCCAAGAGGTCTAAATCCCGAGAAATTATTGCGAAGGAGTTGGAGAACCGGAGATATCTTCATATCTTATCTATCATGAAACATGAAGAGAAGGGCCAATGGCTGAAAGCTATGCCCGTTATCTCGCTATTTATAAGAATAATAGGACATATGATTCAGGTGCCCTCGGAAGGTCGAGCCGGATGTGCGTGAAAGCATGCGATTGCAAGTTGGGCTGGCATATTTAAAGCTCCGACCTGCTCAGATATGACTGCAAGAAGAGCACATCATGGCTCCTAACGGTCTTGGGTCCGGCCTTTGGCGTGTCTCTACTTCTCTTCTTCTCTTCCTGGCTGCCTCGACTATCTCTGCCACTTCAAGTGTTGATAATGGCAAACTGTTTACGGTCAACGGCATCAGCTACTATAGCGGTGATGCAGTCTCGGAAATAGTTATCTCGGATTCTGGTTCAACGCGATTGGACAAAATCGTTCCCCTGACGGTCATTCGAACAGATGAAGCCCTGCTCACCACGGACATTATAAAAGAAACCATTTCAAACTATTCGACCACCGATGATGTTTTCCAGCCCGGCTTTCTCGAAGGTGGGTGTTAAGGAAATCAATATTTCTGCCAAAGACCTCATGTTGACTTCAAGACAGCGGTTGTCCTTGTCTATGATGGACATGGTCAGGGCCAAGTCGAGCCGGCTGTTCAAAAGGCTCTGAATGGACTTGGAAATAAGCTTGTGATGGCCTCTTCCGGCTATCGACCTGGAAAACATTTCACATCCGCCAAATTGCGTCATGATATACCAAATGGCCCCTACTTTTACTCACCGCGGACTGGAGAGATCTATCAGGCCTTCCGTCTCTATGCCGATCATCAGCTCGCATTTACTGAAGCTGTCCTTGATGACGGTACCGGAGGATTTAAGCCCTTGCCAGCAACCTCATCGGTGAGTAAAATTGTGACCGGTCTTCAACAACCTTTGCTGATCAGTTCCAGGGCGCAATGACGAAGAGTGTTGCTGTACCATCTAAGCTATACTATACGCCATCATCAACGAAGCCACTTGCAGGAGTACGATTAGCAAGATAGTCCGCTATATTTCAAAATTTGACTAACAAGATGCAGTTACGTGTGGGAGTGAAAGATATTTTTGATATGAAGGGACTACGGACTAGCGGTGGAAATCGGGCCTTCTACGACTTATATCCTCCGCGAAACACCACTGGCCCCGCACTCCAAAGACTCATAGATGCGGGAGCCATTATTGTAGGGAAAATGGGCACCGTACAATTTGCAAATGGAGATAATCCCACGGGGGATTGGGTCGACTTCCACTGTCCTTTCAACCCTCGAGTAAGTTCAACCATCGATGTCGATGGGATTCCACTAACCGTTGTCTCAGGGTGATGGCTACCAAGCCCCCGGTGGCTCATCTTCGGGACCTGGTGCTGGTATCGCGGCTTACGACTGGCTCGATATTGCCATTGGAAGTGACACAGGTGGTTCTATGCGCAGCCCAGGAGGGATGCAGGGACTCTTTGCCAACCGCCCTTCTACCGGGGCTGTATCTCTTGACAATGTTATTCCACTTTGTCACGTACTCGATACAGCTGGCGTTTTTGCTCGCGATGCTGCCACCTGGTCAAAGGTTATGCATGCGTGGTACCAAACCTTCACTGACTATAGAGAGTATCCGAAAAAGTTGTTCTACCAGAACTCTTCTTTCCCCAAGTCCAACACAGCAGCCGGTGCGCTGCTCGAGGAACTAGTTATGAAAGTGGAAGATTTCCTTGATACGAAGAGGGAGTTTATAGATATCGCTTCGCATTGGGAGAAAAGCCGCCCTTCCGACACACCTTCGAAGATAAATGACTTACTGAATACAGTGAGTTCCAGCAGGATTGGAATACAAATTCAGACACTAATATTCTCTAGACCTATGCTGCATTGGTATCTGTTGATCAATATCGCTCTCTTTCTTTACCGTTTTACGCCGACTACGCAGCGAAGCACGATGGTCGCCGACCGTTTGTGAACCCAGGTCCCTTGTCGCGATGGGCCTGGGGCCAGAATAATGGGGGTGATGCCATATACGACGAAGCTTTCAAGAACAAAACAATCTTCAAAGACTGGTGGGAATCAGATGGATATGGAAAGGCAGACGAAAAGACTTGCTCGGAGGGTATCTATATCTATCCCTACAGCAAGGGTCAGACACAGTATCGGAACGCCTATTTTGAGTGAGTGAAATTTCCTTAAAGAGACAATATGGTTCATTGCTCACATCTACAGCGCACCTTCTGGGCCTCCAATGGGCTTTTCGGACGGTCGGATGGCCGTCTTGGCCGGTACCCCTGATCTAGTAGTTCCTGTAGGAGAGATCCCCTACTACTCTACTATCTCGCTTCAAACTGAGTATATGCCTGTTACGATGAGTTTTGTCGCAGCCCGAGGCTGTGATTTGATGCTGGTCAACCTCATCGAAGATTTGGAACAGGCGGGTATCTTAAAGTCCGTGAGCACAGGGTCAATGATGTATCCTGCGTGAGTCAAACGCGTTTATTTTAATATTTCAAGTCAATACAGAATCAGCCAAGGAATTTTATATATGGAAGCCCAGTGTTGAATTATTAGTTGTGCGAAATATCTCGTGGTCCGCCGGGACCTTCTTCCAGTCCGTTTCTTCTAGGTGCGTCGGGGCGCCAGCGCCAGAATGGGCGCATAAAAGAGGAGCTTTGATCACCATTCTCGAATATATCCGCGGCATGCTATGAGCTGTCAGTCATCATCTTGTGATGTTTGAAGTGGATTCTCCTACCTTTCCTAGAACCGGTAGGAACTTTGCACCATGACCACTACCCCCGGTGCAAACGAAGACAGATTTCTCTGCGTAAGTTGGGACATGATCAATCTGATTAAGAAGCATGTCAGCAGAGATATTCAGAGGAGGGAAGAATTTTGTACTCGCCACAAATGAATTGTCCAGCGAGTCGGTGTACCAGCAAAGCTTTGTAGAGAAAAATGGCGTATTCTGGAACTCAGGTAGGAAGACAGATACAAACTGCTTGATGGCATACAAGGCTGGCTCAGGAAGTAGTGAGCACTCCTCCACTGGAAGAGGTACCGACCATTGACCATCCTGGGTGAACGGAGTATCTTGCGGCGCTGGTTGGAAATTAGTCCACTGAGAACAAGTTAGCAGATGTCGAGAGAAGTTTAACTGGATAGCATCTTATACCTTAATTCCACGATATCCAATCTTCACGAGGCCATCCGGGGTTCTTGGGAGAACGTAAATACTCCCCGTGTCGTTTCCAGAGATGTCTCGTGGAGTACTCTTCCAGGTCATAACGGGAAATCGTTCTGGTGAGTACTTGTCCCATAGCTCGGCGTTGCTTTTGTCTATCATAAAGGTTGCAAGGCTACCAGCTGAGGACTCTAGGTGATAGCTCAATTCAGGGAGAATCCCTGTCGAAAACGACCCAGCTTTCAAAACGTGAGTGAGAGGAGATGCGAATCGAGGATTCTCATGACTTACCAGCCACGACAACGGAGTCGGCATGGTGAACAACACCATCCTGCGTCTTCAAGCCTGTAACTTTCTCTTTGCTTGGCTCAAGCTTGCTTTCCACTTTGACCAAGTAGTCAACAGCTCCCTCTAGCCCGAAACAAAACTTCACCCCTTTGTCGACAGCCACTTTTTGGTAATGAGCACAGGCATTACTGCACCTCATAAATCCAGCCAGGGAATCAAGGACCGCCTCATACGTGCTTTCAGCCGAATTTGGGATGTGGAAACTGAGTATCTTGTCTTTCCAGCCCAGCTTATCAGCCCGTTCGCAGTCTGCGGGGTCACTCTTAACGAACTGCGTGTCTCGTAGACCATCATACTCCATGTTGGCTAGAGTCTCCTTCTCTAGGGTGGCCAAGAGGTCGGAAGGTTGTATACGGAGCATTCCGCTATTGACAAAAAGTCCGACATCTCTACCGTTATCTTGTTCCGTTGATCCGCGCCTCTCGTCTTCCAAAACCCACGCTTTTCGGCTTTCCAGGGCGAGACGTTGGTATTGAATCTCTTTTCCATATGATGCGCGGAACTGAGATTGTCAGTTATGATGGAATCTGATCTATTCCAGTTGAAGTCCCTCACGATTTTATTGTGATCGGCGGATGCAGCTTGTACATCATCGGCTGTGGGGTCATAACCATTTGCATCGTACTGGCTTCGATCGAAGACAGTCACGTCATAATCTGCCAAGTGTAAGCTGCTTGTAATCTGTAATCAGGTAAGTGCCCTGCTTACTTCTATCTCGGAGGGCAATCGCCAGTGAAAGACCAAATATGCCCGCTTTAACCATTGTTAGCAATTTCCAAAGGCCCGTTCTTTGGGTATTTCTCCTACCTCCAATAATGGCGACTGACTTTGGATCCGTCATTGTTGACTTGTCTGTCTCAGTGAACGTAGGAGTGGAAGTCCCCGCAATGAAGCCAAGAGCTTCAATGCCCATGGGGTCCCTATGATACTCCACCTGAATTAGCGAAACTAACCCCTCAATTACTAAGTATTCTGTCCATGTCAAGCAAGTCTAACAATGCAATTTTCCGGTGCATGATAGTTGAAGTGCTCCAACCATTTGTTCACCTAGCATATACAGTAATACATATATATATACTCTCGGCGCATATTGACCATAGGTACACAACTATTGTGTCACATTATATATCATATGTTACTCATATTCTATTAAGTGATTACACAAGTGATGACCTTTAAATAGATTTTATATTAGAGAAACAATGTATGGATACATAGGTAACTAGTTAAGTATCTTAATATAGATATAAGTCTGCCCATCAAGTATCCTCAATGAGAAAATTATGACACACAACCGCCCGGATGGTCTAGTGGTACGTTCCACTGAAATATGCTGTCCTGCGAATCTCAACTAATAAATTATTAGGTATGATTCGTGCTTCGGGTAAAACTTGTGCGAGGTCCCGCGTTCAAATCGCGGTTCGGGCTCTTCTTTTTTTTTCCAAGTTTCTTGAAGGACTAAATAGAGACTCAGCCCGAAGTAACAGTGCTATCGAAATTACCACATGGTTTCACACAAAAGCATATAATACATCTTATTGTTGATACCCGTACTCTGTGCTTATCAGACTCATATGTTGCACGCAGAGACTGGCTCGTGTGAACACTGAAATATCAACCGTAGTTTCTTAACAGGCACGATGCCGTTGGTCTAGCCCTCGAACAGACTAGTCGGTCGCTTTGACATCGACGTTGCAGATTTTCTAGTTGACTACGGCTTGTGATATTTGCTTGTTGCATACATAAAGTTGTTGAAGGCAAAAAAACATGATAGTGTAGAGTACCACTCACAAATGGAAATCTACAAGTGATAGTCCCAGAGACGCATGTTGGATACCTGGGTCTTATCCAACACTATGAAAGGATACCTGGGTCTTATCCAACACTATGAAACCAGACCTAGTCAAAACACAAGCAGCAATAAACCAAGACATGTATATAACCTCTGATTTAGCCAGGGAGCCACCCTGCTCATGAAGTCAAATCACCAGTGATATATATTATCAAGGTTTAAAACCCCCTCCCTAAAAATACAGATAAAAAACAGATGACAGAGCAAAAGACATGAGAGTAGCTGGATCCAGCCGTAGCTTTGCAGAAGATTGTAATATGATCACACAAATATAAATTACTTCCTAGAGTGTACATATACAGTCATTTACCTCGTCATGGGTAGTCACCGTCAGCCGAGAAGCAAACCAATACAAAGTTGGTGTGGCTAACCACTCAAACCTGTGGCCGTTCAGGCTTCACCGTACCCTTTAACTTTGCGGTCTCCGTCTCACCCTCGCCCTTTTCACTCTTGCCGGGTTCGTTGATATATGGGTTCATGGTATCAGCATTAGAGAGACCCTGCTGCTTGAATGACATGCTTGTGGGTCCTTTCGCAGGACCCATGGCTCGAGGCTATCTGAAAGTTAGTATTCACTGGAGACCGTACATATTAAATGCTGGGAGTGTGTATCAAAATTGAAGTGGTTCAGATCAAAGCACAAGGAAAACAACGAACCTCATCATGAGCGAACTTATTCGGGTTGGAATCTTGTCCCTTAACTGTCCGCTCGTCACCCTGGTTGCCCTCCGCATTTTGTGTATACTCTTGATTGGCCCCACGAGGCTCGCCAACGGCGTTGTCACTAGACTTTTTCGGGCCGTCTCTCTGCCACAGGTAGATTGATAGGGGAACACCCAAGGCAATAGATACTAGTAACCTAATAAACAACATTGGTGGTTAGAAGTCGTCCGTTGATCGGAAATCTAGCAAACGAGAGGGGAGACTCACCACCGAGGGCTACTACCTTTTTGCCCACTCGGTCCAGTGGTGGTGAGAGATCTCCGAATAGCATTTGGCTGAGGCGAGCAAGTTCCAATAGGTCCGATCCGGGAAGGTCGTGAAATTCCAGTGCGCAAAAATGGTTGATATATGAAACCCATGATTCTAATTGGTTAGATTGAAGGAATATGCAGCGACGAAACTACTACCATTGAATAGCAAATATAAAAGAAGTGTTAAGTCCGGTAAGTCTAGTAAACCAGACTTAAATATAAACTACAAGCTCTACTACGGTTCTTCGTTACATCATACTGGCTCACCAGCTTGTTATCAAGGTAACGGCATTAAATGGCAAATATCCGCTTTTAGCATCACCAAACTTGATTGTAAAACCAAGTAAATGATGGCGCACTTTCATAATTGTAGAAGCAGCTAGACACAAGGGATCCCATCCCCATAAGCCTGTAACCGGAATTTCGTGCGTCATGCCTTATAAGGTCCGGACACATTTTAAGTCAACAAATACCGCTACACATGCCATGAGTTCTTAAATTACTAATTTGCCATCTCGCATTCGGCAATAGTGAAGGCAGTTGTTCGTTGCAAGTGTAGTCACCAATAACTTGCCACGACCTCATTATAGCATGTACATGTCAGTGGAAGCACGTATCTTAGAAAGAGAATCAAATGTCCTCAGAATACAACGCACACCAACCACGATGACATCATCCTAGAGGCTACCTACCATACCACTACCTAGGCCCCAATGACTTATTCAAACCAGTATGCAACACCAATAAGAAAAGAAGGCTTCTTGATCAGTGAGATCAGACGCAGTTTAAAAAAAAAAGAGACTTAAAAGTAAGTAGCGTAAGATGGAGAACAGAATAAGTAAAGAAAGGTAAAGGAAAAAATAAAAAAGAAACGTCCCCGGGAAGGCTTGAACTTCCAACCTCCCGATTAACAGTCGGACGCGCTAACCAATTGCGCCACGGAGACTTGCTGTGGCGGAATCAGCAGATTCAGACTTGATGAGCTGAGCTAGGAGAGATGTGTACGTTTGTTAGTTTCATCATGGGGATACTGAGCTCCCCTACTCATACAGTATAAGCATTCAAAAGTAAGCTAAAAATGCGCGGTTTGGTACCTCTATACCGGCTTAGCCCATCCTCATGCATGCAGAAATCATGAAGGGTTCGACTGTTGATCGATTAAAGAGCTACATGAGCTGGGTTTAACAACTACATAATTACGTCGTGAGACTGTTAGTATTCATTCTGCTATCTTACATTAAGTAGAATAATAACAAAGGTTTCTTCAACAAGCACGTCTCCGTGGCGCAATTGGTTAGCGCGTCCGACTGTTAATCGGGAGGTTGGAAGTTCAAGCCTTCCCGGGGACGTTTCTTTTTTTTTTTTGCTTCTTTTTCCACCTGCTCACTTCCCTTCCAATATTCCTTTTTTTTTTTTTTTAATAAGTTCAGCTTATGACTAAAATTACACTGTGTTTCAGGCTCAGATCAAAATGAAATATGACTATAGTGATTTATTTCGGCTGTATTGCGATGCAACCTCGAATGCAGTCACCCTATACGGAGTACCGTAGCATAAACAGAGACTCGCGTGAGCTGTATGTGGATCGACTATGCACTGGCTCTGCAGATCCCATGAAAATAGCAGCTAACATATTCATGTCTCAGCCTGCTTGCATGCTTCCTCGTGAACCCCATAATAGTATTCGGCCTTATCGCACCTGTTTCTCCGGGCTATCTATTATGGGAGTATCGGCTGACGACAGACCCAAGACAAAGGTATCCTATCTGGGCCGTGTCACCTGTCATTTTAAGACCTCGTCTGAGACTTGCTCTAGATGCAGGCTGCCAGCAAGGACGAAACAGGACAATCTTGGATAGATGGAGGGACGCCTGACGGACGAAGATATATAAACCTCGTCGGGGAGGGAGCAAAATATATACAACAAGAAATCAAACCATTATACTCTTCCTCAAAGCACCATCAAATCCCCCACAAATATGAAGTCTACCATCATCTGCACCTCTGCCTTCTTGGCAACCCTCAACCTCGTTGCTGCTGCGCCGGTTGCCGCGGTAGCTGAAACCGTATCCGTCTCCTTCGACCCCAAATATGATGTCGGAACATCCTCTCTGACCACCGTATCCTGCTCCAATGGAATTAACGGCCTGATTACCCAAGGCTATACCGACTTTGCATCGCTGCCAAGCTTCCCAAACATTGGCGGTGCGATCACCATCCCAGGCTGGAACAGCCCTAACTGCGGCAAATGTTACGAGCTGCACTACTCGAACGGCAAGATCGACAAGACCATCAACGTTATTGCTGTCGACGCCGCCCCAGGTGGCTTCAACATTGGCCTACAAGCCATGAACACGCTGACCAACGGTCTAGCGGAGGAACTCGGTCGTGTTGACGCCACTTATGTTGAAGTGGAGGACAGCGCCTGTGGGCTGTGAGGGTTGGACAATCTTTATACCGAATGTAACAGTGGAGGAACATAATGGTACACGAAAGCGCTGGATAGTATGGGGGGAGAGATGAGAGTGTTGGACTGAGTACGGAATTATATTTGTCAAACTACATGATGTATACAGATAGTTCATAATATACACGAAGGTTCAATCAAGTACCTTCAACATTTCTTCTACACGCCCGAGCTTATTTCGAGGTTTACCCTTTAGTTGACCGCTCTCTCGCTCTGCCGCATCGATTCGTTGCCAGTCCTGCCACGACGTGGGCCGTAGACCACGGCGCTGGGCCTCGATTTTCACACCGTCCCAGCCTAGACCGCTGCTGTGTTTGGGTGCATGGAGCAAAGAAGTTGAATCGGCACATTTTGCCAGATCTTGCACAACGGAATCTGCAGTAGTGAATGCATCCGTCATTGTCGAGGCAATTACACCCGTTGGACCTCGCTTCACCCAGCCAGCACAATACAGGCCGGGTAGGTGGGAGATGAGAGATCCGTCGGGTAAACTTTCAGACTCGCCCTTATTTGACAAGCTCGTTACGCGGCCAAAGCCATCATTAGGGATGATACCGCGCTGCGCATCGAAGTCAATGCCAAGATCCTCTAGTCCTGGAAGAGGGAGGGATTTGTAGCCCACGCTCCGGAAGAAGACGCTAGCTGGTAGGTTGACCTGCGCACGCTTTCCGTTCGACAAGTACTTTGGAGACACCTTGGAGCTGGGGCTGTGGGGGTCGGATGGGTCGAGTTCATTGCGAGAGAACTTTACATGGGATAGATGGTATGGGTAATCAGGTGACCAGTGAAGAGAATCCGGCGCAAGTAAAAAATCCAATGACCAAGACTTTGGGGCTGTTAGAGGGTCATTGGCTGATCCTTTAGCCAAGAGCTGCATTAGACGCTTCTGCGCCCGGGGCAGTGCTGATACTACCTCTTCCGGCGGAAATATATCTTTTGGAATGGGATCAAATGATACACCTGGAAGCTGTAGCATTTCACGGAGCTCTTTGATGGTAAAGGAAGCCTGAGTCAAGTAATTAATAACCTAGGTATCGACACTCGATTCATTGCAGCTCACCTGTAGGGGTCCGCGGCGCCCAACAACTCGCACTCGCTTGATACGACTTGTGGCGAGTTTTTCCACAGCATAATCTGCTATGTCTGTCTTTCTGAGAGTATCGACATCCGAAAGAAGAATCCGGGCAACGTCTAGTGCAACATTGCCTTGTCCGACAACAACGGCGTTCTCTCCACTTAGGTCGGGATCGAGATCTCTGTGCTCTGGAAGACCATTGTACCACCCCACAAAGGCACGGGCTGAGTGCACGCTATGTAAAGCCTGTTCTCCAGGAATCCCCAGCTCCTTATCTTTTGTGGCTCCGTAGGCGAATATGATGGCATCATAGTGTGGTTTGAGGGCAGCGAGCGGCAGATCATGTCCGAGGTCAATATTACCGACGAAATTGAAGCGCGTGGACTCGGCCACCTCGGTGAATTTATCTTCGCAATTCTAGTTTTCATATAATCATGAGCTTATTTCTAGATACAATATTCAATGGTCGACTCATCGCTGAATCGCGGTTTACCGTGACTCACCTTGACTTCGGGATGGTCTGGAGCAACACCGTACCTAGCCAAGCCGAATGGCACAGGTAGTTTCTCATACATATCAACTATCGCATCTTTTTGCTTAGCCAAAAGACGATAGGCAGCATAGAATCCCGCTGGGCCGGAGCCCACGACCGCCACACGGACAGGCCGATCGGTTTGGGCGACATGACTGTTGGAGCGTTTGAATGTGAATTGGGAGACAATGCTTTTATACTGTAGAAGAGGGCGATTAAGCCGCACAGTGCATTGACCACATACGACGGCCTGTTTTAAGCGCATGGTGAATAGATTCAAGAACCACGGAGGTGATCGGAGATAAGAGGAGAGTGCACGTGACCCATCGGTTGCCCTGGTTACTATCACATGTTTGCTGCCTTGGACATGCACATACTCAGGGCCCCCAGGAGTCGAGTCGCAATTCCACATTCCAAGGTTGTCCGTCAACATTCCTCTCCTTTCGCGTGGGTGCCACGAGTGGCCTTCAATCGCTACCATGGGTAGATCGTCGCCTCCATTCCTTTATGAGCGCCCGTCCGCCTACAGTTTTAAAGGTCCCACCGACCGCGATTTTAACCCGAGGGTCGCGACAGAGGCGAGCTGGACCCGTCCAGCGGTCAAGCCCAAGCAAAAAGGACCGCTGGTGGAGCTAAACCGGCACCCTGACACAGTATGTACCACCTTTCGGAAATTTACGGTGGATTCTGCTAATTGACGTAGTGGGGTTTCTTCAATACGGCCAGCTCATTTACACCGATGAGCTACAAAACAAAGGACCGGGTCAAGTATACACGAATAAGTCAACTTTCACTTCGAGTGCTCACTCTTCTGGGGGCCCTCGGGTCCCTGTTCTGCTCTATCGTTATTAAGGGAGCTGCAACGACCGTCATCTGGATCATTCGCGCTGGCGTGAGTACAGTTCACCCAGGAATAATTTCTGTCGCTGACTTCTGTTGTAGCCCATAGTTGCAATTCTTCACACAATATACGGAATTTACCACAATTCTCGATCTGCTCTCAACCGGCCCGCAGGTTCTCAAGCCAGCTATGGGCTATTTGCCTCGACTCTCGACTTCGGACTCATCTCATTCTACGTGTTTACTGCATATATGGCGTATGGTGAATGGAACTCCAATGCATACCACTGGAAAAATCTCTTCAATAACAGCGACATGACTGAAAAAATTCCCGAGATCACCTTCATCCTGGCCATCGCAAATGGCAGCTTGCACCTCATCTCCTTTGCCATATCGATTTTCTTGGCCATCACTTTCCGGAAGATCTCCCGCCTGCCGCCTGACATGAACCCACTTGAAGATAATCTAACTGCACGTCCCCGGAAGAGCCATAAGGAGTCTCTGATGGAGGAGAAACATCTCAGCCAATCCACCCTGGATTCTGGCTTCGAGGATCCGCTCATTGGATCTCCTCGCACCGTGCCATTCATGCATACACGTGAACAATCTTCCGGTGGTGATTCCAACCGTGGATCAATGGGTATGCTGGACGAGCAGCGGCAGTCACATCCTTCCTTTTATCAGCATCGTCTATCCCACTTGGAATCCCCAACGGAACCTCACATGGATCCATCTAGCCCCGAGACTCTATTCCAACAAACAGCGAACCAGCCCTATGACTTCACGTCACAGCTGCCTGCCCCGGAATTTCGAAAAGTGGCCTCGCACGCTCCTGAAATCATCGATGCCACTGCTCAAATGCGCCATCTGTCGTCACGTACTGCTGATCGATCGGAAACCGTCAGCCCGGTGTCGAATAACTGGGTGGCATACTCTGAACGCTCGCTGTCGCCAATGGCCGAGACGCAGAACGGGAACGAAAACACTCTCCGCCAGTCCTCCTCTGTTTACAGCCGCCAAACCACCAAGACTACCACGTCCAACGGTAGTGGCATTCGGGATTGGTTTGCTTACGGCCCCAAGCCGGAGCCAAGTATTGGAAGTGTTATCCCAGAAGATGTACGTGGAGAGTATGCGTCGGTCGCCATGCATGAATTCTATGGGCTTGACGATGGCCACCGTGAACAAGATGTGGGTGACCAGCGCATGGACATATTCCCAGACCCCGAAGACCACAGAGATGACATTGATGACGAGCGTGATGGCTCAATTCCATTTAACCCGCTCATGCTTAATCCACCAACTCCGCAACCTATTCTGACCGAAAAGCCCGAGAACACCGATCCCGTTCGGCGGGCTGTCTTGGGCGACAGTCCCAATCTATCATACAATCCACGGACACAGCCGGTGTCTGTTCCACACGAGAGTCCCAACCCCACTTCGCCCAAGACCCGGTTCTATGGCGACCTTGATGTAGATGGCATGCCTGGATTGGCCGCGTCTCGCGACTCAAGCGTTCAGGTGGCTCGCAAGCCCACCAAGCTTACGAAGAAACGCAACAGCAAGATGTCTGCTTATGAGTCTCTCAAGAAGAATGACAGCGACGAAGAAAATGGATACCTCTCAGCCAGGAAGCCTGCTTCGCCTCGTGCCACTGAAAGGGACCGCAAGGGCCGTGTCGTGAGCAACACCGGCGCAGACACTGCCCGCCCTAGCGTTGCAGCCGGAGTGGGTGCATCTTTATCCTCATACGGAAGTTACATTGCCGGTCTGGGCGTCGGACGCCGCCGCGATGTGAGCGGCAAGGTTGCCGAAGAAGGACGCAGCGACAACTTTATCGATGAGCAGCCCAGCCACAATCAGAACGAAAGCCACGGGAAGAGTACAAATTCTTCTCCAAATCGGGCTGCAGGATGGGCTCGATTTGCCGGACTTTGAATGTGATACCTATGGTCTTTTCTCTAGGAGTTTACGGTTTGTCTTCATGAATGGCATGTAGCGGCTTGTTTTTGTTCGGACTTTTATATCCCTGTTCCATTGGTTTGATTTTCATGGAAATATGTATGGACTCAAATCGTCTTGGTATATTACGGTTTCATTTTTGTTGTATGTAGTTCTGGCCCTGAATGAACATTTGAACTTATCCATTCAACTTTTAACATTAATCATTGTAGACAGAAATACACATATTAAACAAGACATAAAATCTTGATATTATAGCCAAAAGGCCGAGACAGCACCTTCAGGGTGTGCTGAGCTAGCCATCACCTAGACAAATCCCAAGTACATATCACGAGGGAACACCTTCATATTCCCACCCTGCAATGACACGCTTTCTGCGCCGGGAATTGCGGCGGTTGGCGTTGCATTTGACGAAGAAAGTCAGGGCTGTGATAATGAGAATGATGATACCTGCAATTGCGGCGACAAGCACAGTTTCGCGCTCGAGTTGCTGCGGGTCAGAGGCATAAGGACAAGTCGCACCATAGCCACCGGATATCCAACAGGAAGTAATATCCCTCGAGTTGAAGTTTACAAAGACCTCTCGGAGGGCGGGGTCTGTGGAACTCAAGTCGACTTTTGTCTCTGGCAGAGAGAGCAGATGTTTGTAGAGATACGTGTTTTCTAGACCGGTACGCGGTACAGCGAAGCTCGAACCTGGTGGACAGGTGTTCGACACGTTGGAGAAAGTGTCGGATTTATTTGACAGGACCCAGGAGAAAGGCGAATGACCGATTCGACAGGCGCCACGCCGCTGCTCAGTGCAGTTCATGGATCGCCAGTGGCCATCGAGCGTTAGATCCATGATCGCACAGCGGTCATACTTGGGATCACCATCGCTGCCGGCATAGTTTGCGTCGTGTGGCTCACCAATTGCCCAAGCCCAGGAAGAAGAGAGGGAGACATTACGGTAATGTTCAACTTGTTGGTCTGCGGTCTGACCGAAGAGAGTGGTGTTGAGCATTGGCGAGAGACCACAAGCTGTAAGGTTAGAGAGAACATATGCTAGCGAATCCATCGTCTCATCTGTGGAAAGACCATCAGGGACAGGGAGGTGATTGGATATAGCCCATGATGAGTTGGTTTGAGACACGCGTGTGAGCCCAGGCTCATACAGACAGCCTGAAGTAAGAGTGCCGTTGGTGGTTGCGGAGACATTCACATCAGAAGTCAGGTATCCGGGAAAGAAGACCGAATTGTCTGTGGTAGACAGATTGTAATGCACCAGTTGGGAATCGACAGAGCCATATTCAATGAGCACTCGATCGCGTTTCGCGAGCTGAATGTATTTTGATGATGGCCAGCCATCTGGGGTGCTCTGTTCGCCCTTTTCATTTTCATGAACGGTGAAATACTCTGTGATGGGCATATAGCTCTGGTCGACCTTATACCATGACTCGTTTAAATTGCTTCGGTCCGAGGCAAGCTGAGCCGGGGTGTAGATAAACTCACTAAGGGCCGTCCCGAGGATTGAGCCTGCTCGCTCAGTTTCCGATGGCAACTGACCTCCCGAGATGGCAGAGGCAGGCTCATCTGGCGTGGAGACACTTGCAGCGACGTGGAGATTGAGGACGAGATAGGTGGTGTACACAGTCAACTGGTTGTCTGTGTCTTCGAAATAACCAACTAGTACTTCTACCAAGGTGTCAGGACCAAGGTCGTCGGTGCACTTGTATGGCCCTAGCTCATAGAGAGTGGGTTCAGGTGAATCATCATTGTCAGTCTCAGAATCCCTTCTCTTGGACTCTGAGGATACAGACGCCCCAGATCTAACTGGAATAGACACCGGACAGAAAGACCACGTCCTACGGTTGACCGACCAATATAGATCGACAACAAGACGTCGGTACCCGATTGCTAGGAGATTGGAGAAACATTTCGCAGCGTTGTCTCTATCATAGATGCGGTTTCCAAAGCAGGCAGCCGACAATGATACAGCAGGGTTCGTCACATAGTTAAGTGGGATTTGACCTGCGACATCTCGTTCGCTCTAAGATATTATGAGCGGGGAGGCATTAATTGCGAACCGAGACACATACCAGTATGACAGCCACCCAAGTAGCATCTGACAGGGCAGCTGAAGAGTCATATTGGACAGACATTGAGAATCGACATTAAAATAGCTCTGAAGCGCATGTTCGATGCAAGTTTAGTGTATATGCGTGACGTTGGGGAGGGAAGAAGATTAAGCTTGGCTGGGGAGGTCGGGAGGGCGGACAAATCAGCTGAGTCAATCTGGCCACTTCTCTTTCTTTTCTTTCACAACTCCCTTGGACTCTTCCTTTTCTCTCTGCATTTCATTCAATTTTAATTCAAAATGGCCACTCCCGGCCAGCCCAGTCCTGAGCAGATGGCGGCTATGCAACAACAGTTCGCCGCCGAAGCCGCCAAACGAGGGATGACGCCGCAGCAGTTCGCCGCAAAGCAACGTGAGCAGCTGGCTGCTGATGCTGCAAAGCTCGGCCTGACCACTGAACAATATGTCGCGCAGTTGCGCATGCGAGCAATGCAAGCCCACCAACAGCAACAGAAGCTTCAGGCCGAACAACAGGGTCAAGCAGCACCAGAAGGACAACAAGCTGCATCGCCCGCACCCCAGCAGCACCAACACACAACCACACAACAGGTTCCTGTGAACCCCAACAATCCCCCAGACCCAAAGGCAATAGCAGTGGCCAACTGGCTGCGGTCGCAGAACCTCAAGCCACGTACATGTATTATGGATGGACAGCGCAAGGACATGTTCAAGGGTGAGTAGCGACCAAGGTCTAATCACCTACAAGGAGTCTTTATCTAACAGGGTGTCGTTCAATGCAGTCAAGCGCGCAATCCGAGCCATTGAATCCCCCGCCTACGCCAAAGCCGCCTCAAAGAAGAACTCTCTCCTCCCCCCCGTGACCGACCGCGCCTCCGCCGAGAACGTCTTCAAGCTTCTTCCACTTTCCCTTTTGGCTCTCCGAGTGAGCAAGGTTGATCCCCACGAAGGTCACAACCATGCCAAACCAAAGAACCGCACTAAGGGTCTATGGACCGTGAAGATCGAACAGCACCAGGAGACAGACCCCATGATGCATTATGTTTGGTTGTACGACGGTCCCCAGTGGAAGCAAAAGGCCATGGCTGCCGCGGTAGTTGCGGGTATTTTCGCTGTTGTCCTGTTCCCCTTGTGGCCTATGATTATGCGCCAGGGAGTGTGGTACCTGAGTGTTGGTATGATGGGACTGTTGGGTCTCTTCTTCGCCATGGCTATTTTCCGTTTGATTCTATTCTGCATCACTGTCTTCACCGTGGCCCCGGGTCTCTGGCTATTCCCCAATCTGTTCGAGGATGTTGGATTCTTCGACAGCTTCAAGCCTCTATGGGGCTGGCAAGAGGTATGAATCTCTCCATCCTTACACTCTCGGAAAGAGTAAAACTGACCGTTCAACCATAGACAAAAAAGAGCAAAAAGTCTAGCAAATCCAAGGCTTCAGCCTCAGCCTCAGCCTCAGCTCCCGCCCCAGTTACCGCAGCTGCTCCCTCAGCAAACGCCCCCTCGGCAACCACAAGCTCTGCCGAACCCACTTCGACCCCATCCGCAGTCGCAGCGCGACGAGGTCTGACCGCAAGTGTGGAAGAGGTGGAGGAGTAGTGCTGCTACGTTCTGAACGACATTCAAAGCCGATAGATCAGAATTGGTCGAATTCGGTCTGGCATGGTTATCTTCAAATCATCCATGAGATTTGTATTTTCAAGATCCTTATTCCATGTTCATTCTGGCGTTTTGGGCCTTGCTCCTGAGAATTGATATCATTGCGAAATTCTTCATCTCTCTCGCTTAACTTCTCTTTGGGTTTCATGTAAATGTTGATACTATAACCAAGACCATATGCTTTTAGGTCTGCTCCAGTATCAGATCAATGTAGGCCTGTTTTGTATTATCTTGTATTTGAATATTGCAGACAGTAGACAAAAAGAAAATCTGGTAATGTACACGCTAGGTTCTATGCTCCATGCTCCATGGGCTATAGATCCTCAGTAGGAAATAAAAGGCAGAAGATACAAGTTCAGAGAGAAAAGCGAGAGGATAGAAGGGAGAAGCTTCCAATATGATAAAACGGGGTATATACAAGAACGAATGCTAATAGAAACACAACTGAAATGAAGAGAAGTAATGTGTATATATAGACAAAAGAGGAACTGAGGTATGCACGCAGCGGTTGGTATCACCCATGCGCACGATGAGGGAATGGATATGATAGGCTGAAATATGCAATAGATGCAAAGGGGTATTTGATGCCGAGTGGCCCAAATGCCAGATACAGTAACGACAGATGCGAGAAAGGAGAGAGGGTATAGAGAATATATTTCAAGGTATTGTCGTGAGAGATAGATCATAGGGAAAAAATCAATGTCGAGGATGTGAGGGGGCATTGGAGTGGTGTTAGAGCAAGGCGAAGTGCCATAGATGTGACGTTGAGTCACAGGAGGGGAGGATTTAGACCATGGGAGTCTTGATCAGTTTCGAATATCGAGGATTTCGTGGGACATTGATTGCTGGCTCATTGGTTACGGAATCGACACCGCTCTTCCGATCTTCGACGTGATCCCGCACTGGCCCGGATCCGTAGAATCGTTGCGTTGGGGACGTTGCAGAGAAGGGAGATAGCATCTGTGACGCGGTCGTGTCGGTGAAAGGAACAGGGGGAGTGGTATGGGCGGTAGGAGGAGCGGGCGAGGGGAGCTTGGGGAGTGGGCAGTTGGGGGGTGGTGCAGATGGAGGCCCGACTGTTAAACCAATACCGGGCATGCTCTTGCGGCGCGACATGCCCAAAGGAGCTTGATTGTCGGGGTTTACAGCGGAGACTCTCTTGCGCGGTATTGGTTCTGCCGGCGGCGATACAGGTTGGACCTGGGTTGAATTGAGGCTTTTGCGACTCACGCTAGGGCGGCCGATCAGGCTGATTCGACATGAAGATGCTCTGGGATCGGGTAGGGGGCCGGTAGGAGGGGCTGTTCTGGGCGCCCGGGAGAAGTTTGGGGCATTCTGTGCTGAACGCACGGTTTTGGTTAGGGCATCCTCTGAATTCGAGGACCGTAGGATGCGCCTGGGCTCCGATGAATCTGTGTAGCGTGAGCTGGCGACGCTAAATGTCGGAGATTGCGGAGGAGATGCAAAGGCGGATATATTTGGGTCGGTCTCAGCACGGTGTGTAAAGCCGTTGATCGATGAAGGAGGGGAGGCATGGAAAATGGGAGTCGGCCCAGACCTCGGAACAAACTTCTTGCTAAACGAGGGGACACTGAAATTAGGCGCCGGAGGCGAAGCACAGCGGATGTGAGTTTCGGGAACAGGTGGTGGGTGATTCGGTTGTGGCTCCTCTGTGAAGTCGGTAATGGGAGGAGGCTGATGTGGCATGGGTATATATAAGGATTGTCGCTCATGACTAGAAGGGGGCGGGCTGCGTGTGTAGATTCGGTCAAGCTCTTCCGGCAGAGGCTCATCAGGCCTGAAAGCGCCGGCGTCTATTGGCGGCGAGTTGGGTATATTCGAAGAAGTGAGTGACGAAGAACGAATGTCAGACCCGATAGAAGCAGTGCCATTGGTAGGATTTGTGGTCTCGGTTTGGCCAGTCGACACCGATCCAGATTCAATTAGTGAGCGATGATTGATCGACACATATGAGCTGCGGCGACATGGCCATGCTGTATCACCGACAACCTGGCCATCTTCCTTAGTGGGCGATTGGAGGGGCTGAGGTTGGAGGAAAAGACTGGAAATGCGATGGGGATCTTTCTTGACCATTTGTCGAACGTTCGATTTGGACCGCAACTGAGGCATCGTGTCTTCATCCGACTGCTTCTCTTGCGTAAATTTACGCCCTCCTCGTTTTTCTATCTCAGCTCTAACGGCGGCCAACCAGCCAATCATAGCATCGGGGTTGTCGAACACTAGAAGAAAGTTGCGCGAAAACCGCCGGGGATTATGTTTGTGGAAGCCAAAGCGCGAAAATCGAGGCTTGGGGGCTTCCGGTATGGCGGAATCATCGGCTGTCGGATTGTGAGAGACCTGGACTACCCAATGTTTCCCGGGGATGGCATCACTGGCAAATGCGACAGAGTTAGGTCCTAGCAGCAGCATCCTCTCCGGAAGACGGTCGTGCTTTCCTTCGCCTGCATATTGGAGGATGTAACCAGTAGTTGCCAGGACATATATTTTCTGAGTCCATTCCACCTTGTTGATGGTACCAGATAGTGTCCGGAGATGCTTCTTTTGCCTTTGCTCCCGCTTTTTACGAGCAGCATCAGCGGCCTCGTTCTGCTCCAACGGATTGACAGAGTTGTCGTCGGTAGAGCTCCTTGCGGTCGTGGCATGCAGGCGCAAGATCGCATCCGCAGAGAGAGCAGGTGCCGGGAGGCAGTCGTGCTTGGTGGATTGGGGATAGGCCTGGAACAATGGGGGAGGCTTCCAACCATACTGTTCTTGGTTCGCATGTTTGGGGTCGGGTTTCGGATGGGAGGTCTTCAAGTTTGCGCGCGATGGTTCTGTCGGGGAAGTAATGGTTGGATTGGAGTCTATAGTTCCGGGGCTTGTGATAGAGGGCGACATGGTGGGTTCCCAGACAATGGCAGTTTGAGGTTCCAGCTGTGTCTCTATAATCTCCTCCAATTTGGGGTCGGCGCGGGAAGACTTATGACCAAAGAGATTGCGCAGACTCGTTTTGGAAGATTGCCGTTTAACGGAGGGTTGAGCCTGGAGCGGAACCGGATCTTCTGATCCATTGGTGCTGGGGTACTCGGTTGGCCGAGGGCGCTGTAACCGTTTGTGAGCAGCTGGTCGACTGAAATTGGTTTGTAAGGGCGCAAGTCGATGCCCTCTGCGTTCCCCAATTGATGGCTGATCTGGATTCATTGTCGAGCGTGCTCAAGACAGCCCAAGACAGCTCAAAACAGTTCAAGACTCGGGACTTTAGGACGTTCAGCGCATTGGAAAAAGGAGCGACAGGGTTTAATAAAGAAGGCAATGATCATCGAAAGAGAACGTGGGCATGGACTGGTTCGACGTCATGGCAGGTCCATCAAGAAATAGCCGGTGAAATATATCTATAAATATAGAGAGAGA